ATTCGATGCAGAATATCTTTGAATATTTTTCATGTGCTCCATAGGATTGATAATTATATGAAATGTTCTGTCGATCGCATGTAGTGATTAGCGTTATTTATCAAATGTGATACTTATGTTTTAATAATTTTCGACTGCACTGAATAGACTCATCGATGCATGAGATGTGAAACTTGTTACTTGATATTTAATTACGTTTAGAGAGAAAAGTGTAAAGAAAGAGAACCGATTATTAGATAAGGCGGTTCTACTTCAAAACAAATTTTCAGTAGTTCTCATTTGTATGATCTACAGAAGTTCAAAAATAAAAAAATACTCATAATTGTAAAATCTCTTCTTGTAAGATAATTTGACGTATAGTTAACGACGATTTTTCATAATTCTATGAATTCTTTTTGTCATATCTATTCATATCGTAACGATTGTAAAAAAAAAGGCTTAAAAACATAACAAACGTATAAATAATTTTTTGTTTCCATGTAATAAGTGCGTTATCACGTACAATAAAGAAAACATTATATGCTTCAATATCATGGACAAATGCATTGGAATCGATTCTACCTCGCGATCACACCAAAGGAATATCGTTATTCTGTAATTAAAGTACATTATTAAATACCACCTGTAAAACAGGAACAATTCGTTAGACTGTATACTTTGCAATTGTAATGTTAAAAAAAAAAGCAATTAAAAGCAATTGAGACATTTAAAAAAATAAGACAAGGGTTACAGTTCTTGCGAGTAAATAAAATGCGAGACTGTGAATAGCGTTAATAAAATAACGTTTCGTAAATACAAAACGGTCGTTCAAATAAATAAGATTTATCAGTTGAACATACAAACGATTATTTTTAATAAAAATAGATATTTATTTACTGTATTAAAAATTGTAATAAAATAACCATTCAATTCCGATTATCACAGTTACAAAAAAAGAGCTATTAATTACAAAACTTCATTGTCTAACATAGCTCAGCAATAACTTAATAAATTCTACTATTCTATTTTTCTACATTGTATACTATTTTGATTGGTATATATTTTAAAGACCGTTTTCCCAAAAAAGAAAAAAAAAATCGGTATTACCACGTCCTTTGTCACGTATTAGCATGTAAGACGAACCATTTAGTGCAATACCTAGAGGATAGAAGGTAGATATTTTTCTTGATTATTCATTGTAAAAATTATTTTACATATTTCTCCAAATAAAATGATATGTCGTTTATAAAACTGATGGATACTTCACCTGACACGATTAAAGATCTCACGATACAGAAGACAATTCTATTTGCATTTTTCTGTATCTTTCCGCTTCTTCTTCACTGACTGAAGGAATCAATTCCCGCGTGGCTTTTAGAAAATCTTCCAATTCTACGGTAACACATTCGTCCGATTTAATTTCATTGGAATTATCGTGATAATTATTTAAAACCCTACGCGCAGCGTTCAACCATGCATTTGAACAGATAGAATATAAGTCAGCACCAGTTGTGTGCTCGGGTAGTTGACAGATTAACTGTTCTAACTCTTTTCCATTTTCGCAGAATGTGAATTTACGTGTCAGTGCCTTTAACACACTAAGCTGTGAATCACGATCGGAATGAATTCCTACGTATAGTAGTTTATCAAATCGGCCAGGTCTAAGAAGAGCTGGATCTATCAAATCTGGCCTGTTTGTAGCTCCTATAATGAATATACTATTGGAGCTATCAAGACCATCCATTTCAGCGAGTAATTGAGATACCACACGATCCATCACACCCCCGCTATCACCACTTCGACCACGATTGGGTGCTAACGAATCCAATTCGTCAAAAAATATTATACATGGTGCTGCTGCTCTTGCTCGCTCGAACACTATGATATATTGCGATTTTTATTCCTCTGATATATATTTAATATGTATCTTTATTACTTTACCTTGTCTAACATTTTTCTCGCTTTGGCCGACATACATATTTAATACTTCGGGACCTTTAACTGATAAAAAATGAAGCTGATATTCTGTTGCTACGGCCTTAGCGAGAAGCGTCTTTCCGGTTCCTGGTGGTCCATACAAAAGAAGACCAGACTGTCCAAACCCTAAAGCATTCATCAAAGGTAACTGAATTCGACGCATTATTTCGTGTTTTAAAGTCATTAAGCCACCTATGTCTTCCCAATAAACCTTTGGTACACGCGGCGCATCCTTACAATCTGTATATACCAATTGCATGTATTCTGCAAATGAAATTATATAAATTAAATTGATATCATAGTAATTACTTTTGCAGCATTACAATTTTACCATAAGCTTTATCAAAGTCTTCTTGTGAAAGTGTTAACGATTTTAAATTCTTAGCATTATCTTTGCACCGAAATTTCATGGCATTTAATATTAGCGTCGATAAATCTGAATATCCAAAGTCCGAACATATACCAGAAATTTTTGATAAATTTACTTGATGGTCAAGATTTCGTTTCATGAGCAACCATGAAATTAAATTTGTTCTTTCATTTTGATCTAAATGTTCCACGTGGATCGATTCAATGAAAATTCTGTTTAGTTCAGCTGGTATATCAGATTCACTTGTTGTAGCTATTATAATAATAGGAAATTTCGAACGTTTATTATACAATGAATTTATTTGGTTTGAAAAGCTTGATATTATTCTTTCATCTTTTTGGCCTTCAGAATTTTTTCCAAATACCTGCAAACATTATCTCAAAATATTTTTGTAAATAAATTAATAAAAACATCAAAGTACCTCTATATTATTTAAACACAATATGCATGGCACTGATTGTTCAGCATTGTGCAGTACAATACGTAGTTTAGCCTCTGTTTGTGCTGACGTTAAAGCTTGAACTTCAGCAAAATCTGTATTAAGAAAGTTTAAACCCATTTTCTCAGCTAAAATTTGCGCTAATTTACGTTTATTCGAACCCTGTGATCCCTTGATAAGAAATATTGGCTTTATTGGTAACTGAATATCTGTTAAAAGAATATAGCATTTATAAAACATATTATTTATACTATTTAGATATAATTAGATATTTAAGCATTAATCTTTACCATATTTAATAAATGGAAAAATGCAACGTTCCAAATGTCCCAAAGGTGCTGCTAAACTTGGTGGATATGAATTTACATATTTCTCCTTCATTTCATTGTAAACAAAATGTTTTTGAGGTAAATAACTATGCAGATCTGATTCTTGAATAAGAGTAGTTTCTGCATATAAAATATAACTACCATCACTTGTATAATCTCCATTGTCATTGATAATAGAATTGACTTTAAAATATATTACAGACACTGAAGAATTCGTATGCAAATATATTTGATCTAGTATATGTTCCTTTATGTTAATACCAAATAAATCATTCTTTCTTAAAAATCTAGGTTCTGAGAAATAATTTTCCAAGAGAATATTTATTAAATTATCTGTGCTCTCATATTGATTACAAATCATAGAAATTTTGGCTTCCCTAGCAAAGCTAATAGTGTCATCTTTTATTGGCACTGAAAAGAATTTAAAAAAAAATTATTTCTTATGAAATTTTTATTGTTGTTCACTAAACTATTCTTTTCTCTTTTGTACTCACGTAAAAAGCATTTATTGATAGTGCAATGCAATGCATTTTGTATATTATATTTCATAGTATCTGATATAAATATTTCATTTTCATCAAAATTATTCAAAGGTACAACTAAAACTTTGTACTTTTTTACAGATACTATAGAACATATGTAAAACCAAGTTGGTTTAGTAATTTCAAAATATTTTATGTTCGCCAATAAACAAGAATTATAGTCTATATAATAATTTCTCTTATCGTGAAATTGTTTTATTAAATTTTTTAGAGCAGTGTCAGACAAAACAATCCAATTGAATTTTGTATTAATTAATGTTTTCAATCGAAGAAGCGTGTACTGCATAAATATATAAAAGAGCATGTAATTGTAGTTACATTTCATTAACAATTTTATTAAATTTCGTAAGAAATTTATATAGAAATACGAAGATTTCATGTTGAATTTGTCCCGGTTAAATTCGAAAATCAGAGCCGCAATTAGAGCTGAAAAGCAAACGAATGATTGATTTTTATTAGGATGAAACAAGAACCAAACTTATTTAATAACAGTATTTGCAGTATAAAAACATAGTAAATTTTATAATATATTCAATACATAAATATATGTACTTTAAGTAATCTGTTGAATTAATGAATAACAAACCTTTAACGAAACTTTTGTGATAATTTTTGAAATGAATCTTCATAACGATCGTAGAAAAAAAAAAGAAAAAAAAAATTGGCGTACCAATTTTGGACCAATCTGCCAAGTTACTATAGAAGCAGTGACAAAGTGGAGGTTCGAAGATCATGTGAGATCCTTCTGTAACAGCTGTCCTATTGGTAATTTTCAATAGGGATCCGCGTGAAAACTATATTAAGCACGGTAAATCTCTGGCCGCAACGCATTCTTGGTTCTTTCGCGTAGCAGATCCAATTAAAATTCGTGATTAGCGGAACGTAACTCTTGCATCATTTGAAACACAGCATAGCAGAAGACAGTGAAAAACCGTTGGTGGCTGTAGCCGTTAAGAGGAAAACTAACCTAACCTAGACTGATAGCGTCCTTATTGGAATTATCAAGACTAGATTTATTCAAATTTGAATCACGAGTCGAGGAATATTATGCAAAATTTTAGTACGTGTGAAAGGTTAAGTGTTCTCTAGAGAAAACGTCGTTCATATTTCGCTCTATTGTTTCATATCGCGGACGATTGTATGCATTACGTTCGACTGAACATACCTTGAAGTGCTTACGAATTTCACCTCTTGTTGAATTTTCCTTTACGTTCTCACGTGCAATAACGATGAACAGACAGTAACTGTCACGTTATGCTTAAGCTTTTTAAAATTCCTATTGTTCCCATTTTCTGAACATAATTTGATATGTCGTTAGTAGAGACATTTAAAAAGTGATCTGCCAGCTTTTTATTATTTCAATATTTTTTTGCTTTTAGAATATAAGGTGATTTAATTAAGAAAGTATAGAATTAAGAATGGATCCTGCTACAGTCATAGCTCTTTGTAAGGAAAATATTCAACCGTTGCGTTATGGACGAAATGCTACACAGCTAGGAACTGCGTTAAGGGCACAGGAAGATACAGATGCTCAACAAATACTTTTACAAGAAAAACAGTGAGTCGAACAGTAGTTAATAGTTATTTTGTAATGGTTGAACTCTTAGTTGACGTAATGAAGTTTTTCTGTGATTTAACGCGAATGTCTTGTTATATTCTAAAGTGATAAATTTCACGTTATCTTTTTCTTTTTTAGGATGTATGAAGATGCAATAAAAAATTATGAAGGAGATGATCCTTTAGAAAGTTGGTATGAATATATACTTTGGATAGAGCAAAGTTATCCGAAAAGTGGACACGAGTCACATATTGGAAAACTTTTGCAACAATGTTTAGCTATATTTGAGAAAGAGACAAAATATCACCAAGATCGTAGATACATACGTTTGTGGATTAATTATGTAAGATATTTAAAATGTATCTTTTATATATGAAAAGAAATATCTTTGTAATAAAATAAGTATTTGTTTGCTTATATATAGATAAGCATGCAAAAGAATCCATTAGAACTGTATCAACTTTTGCATAACAATGGAATTGGGACTATGGTCGCAGATATGTATAGAGCATGGGCTTTTGAATTAGAACAGATAGAAGACTATAAACGTGCTGATGAAGTTTATTTAATGGGATTATCTACATTGGCAGAACCACAGGAGGAACTAGATTATGCTCACAAGTATTAATCACAAAACAAGGAATACTAATGTAATTATTAATGTAATAACATGCGCTTCATCTATTGTAGGAACTTTCAACTCGCAGTTGCACGTAAAACATTGGGACGTACAGATGATCGTAATGAAATGTCATTACTTGAACAACGACAGGCTTTTAGTTCTTTAAGAGCAATAAAAGCTGGAAAAAGAGTTGGTAGTATACGTACTGGACATCGAGTACGCGAATATTTTCCTGGTACAGTTCCACAAATTTCATCGACAATGCACCATACTCGACCAAATTCTAGGATACAGATATATCAGGTATGTAGATTATATTCAAAATACAATAATACAGAAATATATTGAGATTTTTTATAGGATGATGTGTCAGGTGAAATAAAAAATTCAAGCATATTAGATCATGTACCAGTAGAAGATGCAATACATAAAGAAAATACAATTAAACCTGGCCCATGGAATAGCGCAAATAAACGATGTCCTTTAATAACATCTACTACAAAATCAGCTTTCAAAGGTGCAATTTTATTCATAACAAAATAATATTACTTATAGATAAAATTGTTTTTTTTATGCACTTTACTGTTATTTAAATTTTAGTTCACGAAGATCAACCAGATGATTTTAATACAAACAATTTAAGATTATTTTCAAATCATATATATTTTTTCGATGGCAGCAAATATCCGGAACATTTAACTGTGCCTGTATTTGTGTCAGATCCTCCAAATCCAAATATTATATTAAGACCACATTATCCCAAAGAATTAGTTTATGCTAATAATATGGATCAAAGTATGGAAGAAATAAGAGCTCAACTGTATTCACAAAGGTAATTTATTTTTATTAATAATTATTTAAATAATAAAAATATTTCGAATAATCATGATTAGTGTTTTAAATTATAGGGCACAAGTTATAGACAAAAAGCACGACATGCCGGATATAAGAGGAACTGACCACCAAATTCAACATAAAAGTTTTGAATCTGAACATCAAAGACACGATGTATCTTACAGAGAAGAATTACAAAGACAGAGGCGAGAATTACAAAGACATCAAGAATTAACAGAAAGACAAAGGAAAATCGAACAGCAACGTAGAGAAGCAGAACAACTTGAATTGGATAGACAAAGACTTCAAGCTGAACAGCAAGAGCTCCAAAGACAACAGTATGAAGCTGAAAACCAAGCTTTAGAAACTCAAAGACGTAAGGCAGAACAACATGAATTAGAACGATTAGAAGCAGAAAGAATCGAAGCCGAAAGAATCGAAGCAGAGAGACTAGAAGCACAGAGAATGGAAGCCGAATTAAATTCACAACGAAAATTACAATCCAGTTTTATGCATCAGCATCATACATCATCGTTAAATGCTGAACCTGAAGAACATTTACTGGGACAAAGTATTACGGTTAATACGAAAGAAGCAATGTCAGTTGTGCAAGACATGTGGCGCTCTCCTGATACTATACCTACAACGCCTAATTTTCGTACTCCTATGACACCTAGAATTTCAGATGTCAAGACTAAATTATCTTTTGACATACATATGGATAGTTCAATGACACAGCATGCAATGTCAAGTAGTAAACATCATTCGAGTTATAATATACAAACTTATAATGATCAAGAGAATCACCAAAATTATTCTCATCAAAATTATTCTAATCAAGAACATCAAAGCTCTTATAATAACCACGGATTACATAACACGTACCAATATCAAATGCAGGTATAGTATCAGTCACGTGTAAAGAACACTTTTTACATGTACAAAATTTGTGTACTAATTCTTAAAATAATTGATTACAGCAACAAATACATGAGCAACAAGTACAACAATCTCATTCTCGGTCGCATCATTCACATCATCAATTAATCCAAGCACATCAACCGGCTCATGTGATTTCTCATCACCATTCACTTCAGCATGTCTCTCATTTGCAATCTCACAGTCAGATTCAACATCAACATCAACATCAACATCAGCAGCATCAACATCAGCAACATCAACATCAACATCAACATCAACATCTTCATCATCAGTCACACCAACAGCCGCATCAACATATGCAACATATTCAGCAAGTTTATGGCAATATGATGCCCAATGATATTGCTTATCAGCAGTATCCTTCTCAGCTAGAATCTACGTTATTGCAACAAAATGTAGAGTCTCAGAAACAACTTCATTATCCTCCATATAACGACCCAGACAGTAAACCGTACAGAATGCCACCTGAATTACCGTATATAAAATCTCCGGGGATGAATCGTAGAGACATTAAATATCTTGAAAGTGCAGAAGATAAAGAAAATGCTATTGTCGTTGATTATAATGGACCAATAGAAGAAAATATGACATCGAAAGCAGCTGACGAAAATAATTTGTATATTGATGAAAGTCTTGGTATTACTCCATTGACAGGAAATAATGATACTTGTTACACAGAAGCATTTAATACACAATTATTGAGTTCTACACCTATGACTAATCAATTTAGACAACCTTACAAAATAGTAGAAGGAACTTCACAATATTCAAATCAGTGTGCTGCACCTCAATCTCAGCCGTATGTGATTTTTTTTAAATCATATAATTAATTAATTAATACAATAGCATATATTTACTTTGAATTTTATTTGCAGTTCCTCAGAGACACCTAATGGAGAAACTGAAGATAAATTGAGTGTCATACTAGAATCTACTAAAGAATATATTTCAAGTAGTTCTGGCAGCAGTACCCATATAAGGAATACTGCATTAGGCTTTACATTAACAAAAGAAGATCTGGTTCCTATAAAAGAACAAAGTACAAGTAGAGGTATTTTAATTAAATGAATTAAAATTTTCTTATTTCTTGTAACATCATTTGTATATGAAAGAAGACTTTTTATCTAACAAGGTGGTGAAGACGAAACAAAAGACATTACTCTTTCTGCAAACCAACCTTATGAACAAAAACTTCAAGCCCAAATTCAAGCTGTGCACGCTCAGAGTCCACGTACGGTGCAACGTAACGTGGATCAAATTACTTCTGAAATTAAAAAGAATTGCGATCTACGAAAATCAATTAACTTTAAGTTTAACGAAATAGAACAAAAAGAAAAAGTTGATACAATGGAATGTGAAGAGCACTATGAACCTATGGAAGAAGCAGAAGAAGAAAGTTTCCAGTTACCTTCAGAAAATATAAATCCTTTCGATAGAAATTTAATAGCTGGGCTTTTAAAGAAAATTAAATTTCCCCAGCCACGTCATGCAGAGGGATATGTGAGATTAAATATTAACTTAAATAAGCTTGTGCCTTCTACTATAATTACGCTTGGTCAGTGTATTTCGATGTAGAAACATATCTTCATAGATGCAAATATTTTTTTGTTGTTTTGATATTTATTACTTTTGTTTATTTCACGTGTCTAGGTACTGAAACGTACGATTTGGGAAAGTGCCTTGGAAAGGGAACGTACGGTACAGTATTCAAAGCAGTGAATCTGCAAACAGGTAAAATAGTTGCCCTGAAAACTCAAAAGCCTGCCTGGGTTTGGGAGTATTATATCACTAGGGAAATAAAAAGTCGTCTTACCAATTCACATATGGTAAAGTATTTATTTATTGTATTTATTTATTTATTTATTGCATATCAGTATCAATTCTAATAAATAATAAACAATTTTTTTCTAGTTGCGTGGGTTTATGGATGTTTCCATGGCATATGTCGCGAATAACAGTAGTGTACTAGTTTCAGAGTATTCCAGATTTGGAACATTATTAGCAGTAACAAATCAAATAAAAATTACTACGGGTAAACCGTTGTTAGAGCATTTGGCTATATTTTTCACGATTGAAATATTACAAATTGTAGAATACTTGCACAAATGTCAAATAATCCACGGAGACATTAAACCAGACAATTTTCTTTTAATGCGTTTGTACGTGTATTCATTATATATTTATTATATATTTATTATCTTGTAGATCAAATCTATAATATTGCATTTATTAATATAATAATTTTAGACCAACGGAAGATGTGAGGCCAACGATACAATTAATAGATTTTGGATGTAGTATAGATATGAGTCTTTTGCCAGAAAAGACGACATTTACTCAGGTCATAAAGACAGAAGATTTTACATGTATTGAAATGCAAACTGGAAAACCATGGACGTATCAAACTGATTTATATTGTTTAGCTGCGACAAGCCATTGTTTATTATTTGGCAATTATATGAGAGTTACGAATGTTGGTGGTCGCTGGTTTATTACCTCGAAAATACCAAGGTATTTATTTTTAAGTAAAAGTATTTTTTGGTTATAAAACATTAAAGAAACTTTGAATCATTTATTGAAAAATTTATTGAAAAAATACAGGTATGCCAAGAGAGCTGCTTGGGAACAATTCTTTACAGAATTATTAAACATTGAATCGTGTGATAAAATGCCGGATTTATCAAAATTGCGCAATATGATGGAAGAAACATTAGCGCAAATGACGGATGCCCAACAGAAATTTAGAAACTTTGTCAACATTTTAAACAAACGATAACACTTACTAAATATATTGTATCAAATGTTGTGTCCCAATGTGTGCACATATTTAGTAAAGAACCAACATTTATTAAGAAAAATTAATGTTACTATGCTATTTATTATCGAAGTTAATACTATGGTGATATATGTAATACACAGTTAAAAATACATAAAATGCACTTTATGGCCTGCTTCGTGGAGGCTTTCATGAACTATATTGCTTGCACATAATCAGTTATATTAAAAGTACTTCGTTTAATGAAAGGGAGAAAAAATACTTTCCAATCTGATGATATTACAGACATTTTATACTCTACAAGTTATAAAAATGTCTTTCAAGATACCTCGTGACATAGTACCTGGATGTTAGCATCTGTCACGTAAATTATGTGAAGGCAGATTTGTATAATAAAGTTGAGTAAAAATGAAACTTCGAGAAAAACAAATATGTAAAAAAAAAAAAAAATAAATATTTATAATACAATGCGCGTGAGATAAATGCGGGTTGTTTACCTACAATGTTTTATAATTACAAGCGGAAAAAATTTGTGTACTGACTAACATATTATCAAGTACACCATGCAAGCTTGCATACTTTATTTAGATAATATGTATATGTAGTGTTTATATAATATATTTGAGATGAAATAAACTTTTGTTCTCTACAAATATTAAATCTTTTTAGACGTATACACTTAGAGAAACTCTGAATCATTTTAATCTAATTATGTTTAAGAAATTAAATTGCTCTCATATATTCTGTAAGAAAAGAAAAAAAGTAATAAAAACAAATGTTTCAATGATACTAATATTTTGTTTTGTTTTAGATATTCTTTGATGATGATTGGTAACAAAATATGCAAGCTCATAGAATGAGAAGATTTAACATAATATGTAAGCAACTTTATATAAAAATTATATTAATATACGGTTTTCTAGTTTATTTTATATTTTTCAGTTTAAATGTGCAAGCTTATTTGCCAATATCCACTAAACAGGCCTTTATGTAATATATTTTATAAAATAGACTTTATCGTATTTAACACGCATACGATAGAAATTTCAAAATTTGTGTTCAAACGATTCGATTTTATAAAATGCACAAGAACACTAGGTTGTCTAATATTTAAAGCACGATATAAATTATATGTATAGCATTACGAAACACATTGATAATAATAGACAGCCTATTGCTCTCTGATTTAGAAATTTCTGAGAATATGCCTTATCTTATTTTAATGGTGCAACGTAAAAATATTTATATTCATATAAAATATATATACAATTATTCAATACATTCATTATATATAAAAAAAAAGAAAAACGGAAAAAAATGATGAATGGTACACATCGCTGGAATTAGATTTAATTATACAAATAAATTTATAGAGTATTACCTTAATAATAGGTGATATTTATTACCATTAGTTTACTTATTTTTATAAAATTAAAAAAAATATATATTTGTCTTTTCTAAAATATTTAATCATATAGAAGCTTTTGTTTTATAGACTTCTTCATGTATTATTGTTAAATATATCTTCTAACATGAAATTAATAACAATTGAATTATTACAGGTCAGTTTTATATAATACATAAATTTGTTTAATTTCAAAGAATTCATGTACTTTGTTATATTACACTAATCGCTCACAATAATATATATATCCGTACTAAGAAGTCTTATGTTAAAAAATTTAAACTTTTATAGGTATAATTATTTACAAACATTAATTCTATTTTAAAATTTGTTGTATGATAATTGTGAATTTTGTAAATTAAATCTAAAATTTTCACAGATTGTAAGAAATTAATATTTGACATATCTTTGTTCAAAAACTCATAATTAGGACACAAGTGCATAATTGTCATATTGATATACATATATGAATAAGATAATTAAATTCTTTTTTCTTTCAAGTTTTACCATAAAATTTTCGATTTAATAAATACAACAATAAGTTTACGTTAACTTTTGCTTTACCAAACATATCCATAATTGGTGCACCTTCAAACTGCAATTCAAGTAATTTTTGTATATCGATATCAATTTTTTCCATTTCTACTCCCATAAATTTACAACGCACGCTAAAAAGACCAGTATGTTCTGTTGGACTTATTTCAAAAATTACATTTTTAAACTGTGATTGCGGTAGTCCATCAATTTCTAACAGTACTCCTTTTTCTTGTAGTTTGGCTGCAGAATATTTCAATGTCATTTTAGATCTTAACTTAACGTGATTATTCTTCTGACTAGTTTTAAATGCTCGCAAGGATCTATAAACAATTACACTATTACGTAATGTTATAGGTATGAAAGGCAAGAAAAAAATTATATATGTACCCTTTTGCTGTGCGTAAATTTTCCAAACAATGTTGTATATATTCATTATAGTATTCTACTTGTTCTTGGTAATATTTGCATTTTTCTTCCAGTCTTTGTTTAGTTGTGCGTAAAGTTTGCAATTCTTTATTTCGAATAATTCGATATTTTCCTTTATTACAAAGATCCTTAGCCACTGCAGTTATAATATTTTGATATCCATCAGCTTGACTGACCCAACCATCAAGTTCAAGTTTATTAAGATACGCCCGTAACTGATGTTTACAATCATTCAAGGATGAACTATAAATAAATTTTTTTATTTTTTATTTAATGGTTAATAATTTATTTCATTACTATACCTCTTATGAATAATATTTAAAGTAGGCGATAAACTAGTGCATTTTACGTCGGACAATTTTTCTTGGACAGGAGAACATACAGGGTCTGCTAAAGCTTCGACTAATGTTTGACCTTTTAAAAACTGCAATACAGAAACTAATAATTCTTTCGTTTTTATAAAAAGTTTGTTTAAACTAGCATCTTCCTCTTCGGGCACTTGAAATTTATTGGTGAGAACCAAACATACTTCTGTTTTTCCAAAACGTGTTAAATTTGTTTCACACATGGTGTCAGCTAATAAATAATTATAATGTAATATCGTTTAATTAAGTACAATATGATAATAAATTATTTCTTACAGATTCCAAGTAAAGATGCAACAGTCGGTGCAGGACCTAAATCATCCAATAAATCGTGCAACGGATCCATTGGATCTGGTGCTATTTGATCTTGATATTCTAACATAAGGCAATGAGTGTCACAAATTTCCTGTAATTAACATAGATTAACATAAATAATAGTTTACAAGATTAATAATGAAAAAATACATGATGAATAATGAAAAAAATTTCGTATTTTTATGTGATTATTAAAATTCTCTTACTTGTAATGAAATATATATCTCAGGTTTGTGAATAAGCGTAGCCTCCGTATATTCGTGAATACAGAAATGTTCTTCTAAATCTTCAATTTGACAACAATAACGGAAAAAGTTTTTAAACTTTTCGTGACATTCAATTATAAATGAATTCAAACAAACTAGATGCGTGGCTTCTTCACCAAACTAAAAATAAAAATTTACGTAATATGCGTCTCTTGTTGGTTCGAAATGTTATGATTCTTAAAAAGCAAATGTAATTACCCCTTTTTTAGAAGCAGCGAATTGTAATATTTTGGCAATACTAGCTAAATTTCTTCGTTGATCATTTGATAATGATCTATCAATTGGCAATGTAATTATATCGAAAGCATCTGGAGCTACAATAGCTGCATTTATATAATGATAATAAATTAAATTTCCCACTACTTTTAAAATATCTTTCTCTGGAGCATTTGGAAATTTTTCAGTTAAAGAATCGTTTAAAATTTTAGCCATATATAACATTCCATATGGTATTAAATCACGTGATTCAGTTATTTTAGTCAAAAATTCTAGAACAGTACTTTGAAGTAATTGTATTCCTTTATTTAATCTGATTTGTACTTGCTCGTTCTCTAGAGCTTGTTGTTGTGTTACCGTATAAGGCAGATTTCTGTTGAGAATAATAATTATAAAACAATGTTGGCTTGTATATTTGCTTAAAACTTACACTGTTTGCCCTATTTCCATTTCTAATTGATTTCGCCAGCATTTATAAATATCGACAGGATTTGTTTCTATACTTAACGTACGATCAGCTAAAATTTTTTCAATAATTGGTCCAACAATTTTTCTCAAAGCTCTTTGGCCATTTAATTGTCGTGCATAATTTACCACCATTTTCAGAACAAGAGGATTCCCGGTAACGACTTCAGATGGTTTTTGAAATTTGCATCTATGTATTGAATTATAATTATTACTTACTTTATATTTGAATTTATTACTTTTTTATGTAATAGCATTATACCTGATTTCTTCTTGTAATGCGTTACCAAATAATTTTAATAACAAATATTCTTCTCTAATATTTGATCCGAAGTTAAATAACGTTAAAATTACATTTTGGAGAAACTTATTTGTTTTGCTTTGAGGTAAAAGAAATAAAAGTTTTGATAAATATGCTGGATTAGTTTGCAGTGCATAAAACAAATGTTGATATCCTTCCAACATTTTTCGACCCTCTTTAGTTAATGATTTTAAGCCTTTGTGTGAAACAGCACCATCTGATAAAGAACTCCTACGAGGTCTGTTGGAATGCTTTTGCTTTGCAAGAGTTTCCAAGCTCTTTCCATGTGCTACAACATCCTAAAATTTTAGTCAGGTGTAAATTAGGTATAAATGTAATATTTTCTTTTTATTTTAAACATTACTTGTAGTGTAATTCTATTTTGTATAAGTAAACCAATTTTTATATCCATGCTATCCAATTGTTGAGATAAAACCTGATTGTGTCGTATACTTTGAACAACCTCATGTTTTAAATACTGCAACAGTAAATTCGCGATATAAATGATGTAATATAAATATAAATGATTTAACTATTGTTTAAACATAAAATATTTATACTTGTAATTGTAAGTCTTTATCATAATCCTCTGCGTTAAAATTTAAAATTGCAGAAAAATGACGAACAACAGCAAATGGTGGTTTTTCCATATATAAAAGTGAATGGAAAGCGCGTCTTTCAGCACGACTCCGCCATAAAGCTTGTATTTTTATGATTTTTTCTTCCTAAAAATTAAGAATGAATCAATACTACTGTAGTGTATTATACGAAAAATTGAAATAAAAAGAATTATTACTTACATGTTCCCTATAATAATCCAATATATTTGTATATTTGAGTTTCACTTTCACATATGTGTTTTGAAATGCTTTCTTTTTATCTTCTAATAATTTCATGTATCGTTTACGCTGTATTATAGTTCTCCACCAAGCTTGGATTCGAATAATTTTATCTACATTATCATGAAAGCATGTAAGTCTATCAGAAAATTTCTTTCTTAATAAATATCCACGAATATAAGCTTGGAATTGAATTATTTTGTCTTTTAACAAATATTCTGCGTGTTCTTTTGCTGTAACACTTTTTATTAATTCCTGGAAATAACGTACGAATATAGTTTTAAACATTTTTTTAGTTTAATTAGTTTAAATTTTTTAATTCTACAATACAATTATGTCTTGCATGTCGATATAAAATGTTTTTGAGGCATTTTTAGGTAGGTCCCAGGTGTAACTGAGCTTTTGTAAATTTAAATAAGATTCATTATTTTGAAAAGTAACAAATTGAACAAATTCATAGTTGTACAGTTTACTCTGAAATATGAAAAGAAATTATTAAATTTCTTCATTATAATATTATAGTACACTATAATATTATAGTACACTTCATTATAATATTATACCTTCATATTTTTTAAATTGCATAAGGTTTTGAAACAATCTATTTTGTATTGTTCTGGTATTCTGAAACCAAATGTTTCAAGGCATTCAATTGTAAATGACATATCATTTTTCTGTAACGCTGAATTAATTTTTGACAAAAAGCTGCAGACTGCAAAAATACGAAATATATTATTAAAGTACTATAAGCATAACTACAAATGTACAAAATGTAAACGCATTATACCACGTTCAATATTCATGGATTCACTCGCAACAATTTTTGTTATATTTTCTACATCTTCTAGCCATAATTCAGAACCATCATTATGTTTTTCTTCAAGGCATTTTTTAAATAATTTCAAATAAAGAGACGCATCTGCTGGCAAAATAGGTTCCTTCAATTTTAAAGCAGAATTTTCCAAAGCAGCTATAATATCATTTCGGTCATTTTCTACGACAGCCGAGTTTAATTGACGTAGAACTTGTATCACTGTCAAAGTAATAAGAAATTTAAAACGTTGTAGTTTTATAAAGTAGTTTATAAAGAAGTTATATAGAAAATTTAAAGAATATACCCTCATCATCATTTTCACATTGTTGATTGATATCATCAATACATTCTTGAACATCAATGTACGTTAATAAAGGACATTCTTCTTTAATTGTTTGTTTCTCAGATCGAACTGCTGCTAATGCTCTATAGTATTTTACTTTATTCCCTTGATCTAATCCCTAGATATGATATACATATATATACAAAAATAATTTTTTATTCAAAATGTATTTATATGAAAGTAAACCCACAGAAACATGACAACCTGGATTTGCCAACGCTTGATAAACTAAATCTGGATTTTCCGTATCTACAGCTTTACTAATTTCTGCAATTGTCGATAAAACACGCACACTGACTACAATATCGCTATATGAAAGGTCGTTCTATTAAGAATATTGTTTGTATTAATACAGGTTTTTAACAAAATTTTATACTTTACATGTTTTATTTTTACCTGAGAGTCAATACGATCGACTTTCATCTCTTCATAATATAATGGTAGTGCAAAATCATCAATTTTTTCTGTCAACTCAAGATCAGGCTTTTTTAAAACTTTATAAAAATCATTTCGTTTACCATTTTGTAATGTTAAATTTAAAAGCTTTACACAATCATCACCTGTGTTAAGAAAAATATTTTGGATAGTAATTATATTATATTTAAGATGATGATCTTTATTATGTAATACTAACGTTCCTGAGATTTCAGTGCTATTTCATTTGCTTTATCAATTTCTTTTTGAAGTAATTGTTTACAATGATGATGATTATTTTCTGAATATGTACTGCTCCATTCAGTATCTTCCAATAATTGCATTAGTTGTTCTTTATATAATTGTGCGTTTTCGTGAATGATATGCTGAAAAAATTATAATAATGCTAATCATAAATTAGAATTATAGAATTGCAAAAAAGATATTAATAAAAATATTAAGTTAAAGCATACTTTTAAGTACAATGCAGGCATTTTTAATATATCCATAAAATCATTGTTCTTACAATGAATAGACTGAATTATATTTTTCATGGCATAGGAAACTAAAAAAGATGTGAGTAATTAGAACAAAATTAAAAAAAATAATTAGAAAATAATAATTCTTCTTACAACTTACCATTAACGTAATTAATATGACCCTGAATTTCTGCTTGAGTTAATAATTCATCATATATATCTGGCACATAACTATCATTAAGAGACTGTTAAAATTATATTATTAATATTTATTAGAAATATAAATAAAAATATTTTAATTGAAAGAATCATTACTTACTCTATTAAGTGCAGCTTGCATTTTTGATTCCTTTGCTTCGAATAAAGCATCAGTGTATTCTTTACAGTAGCATGGCATAATATTATTCAAATTCACTACTTTATTTTGAAGGGTAGTTAATATTTTTTCATTATCCTTAAAATGAAATATTCTTTCATTAATTATTTAAAGTTATTTAAAGTATTTAAACAAGATATTTTAAGTAACATCCATACTTTTTCTGTAATAGATTGATTAATTGCTATTACAGCAGCATGAAGTGTAGCTGTATCAATCTCCATGCAATTTGCTAACAAACCACCAATTTTTTGGAATGAAGGCATTTGAATTCCATATTTTTTCAACTCTTTACTGACAGTATTTATTTCTTCCTCTAGAAAAAATGAAATGCTAATACTAATAATACTACAATTCTACATATTTTTTTTTCAAAATATAACAGAACCAAACAAGTACCAGTAAAATTCACTTTTCCATATAAGTCCTGAATTTGTGGTGCTTTACCTAGTTTAAACAAATGAGTACTCAGAGCATGAATACAATATATTACACGAGGCATATTTTTCTTATCATAGATATCTGTAGTTTCTGGCTGAAAAGTCTTTCAAAAAGTTTGACAGATTATTTTGAGTAAATGCAAGTATGAGAAATATTTTATTTTTATGTAACAGACACATACTATTGGTAATTGCATAGATTTTAAGGCTTTTAGAAAGTGATTAATATTATCTGTGTGCCTAAATTGCAAACCAACTGCTACATAGCGTTTTTGTTCAGCATCATATATTTTGTGAGCAGGCAAGGAGTCAGGTGCCATAAAATAGGCAAGTTTCGCCAAATACACTCCATTTCTAAAGTTTTCTTCCAATTCAGTTGTTGGTGGAAGTGTTTCTCTAAGACATGCTTCCATCCATCTATTAAATAAAAAAATCAAGTAAGATAATTGTGAATTTATTAAAAAAATTTGTTAAGATATTTACTTTTTGGCTTCCTCCAGATGACAAAGGTATTCATAAGCGACTGTCTTGTGACGTTGTTCATCCATTTCCTCTGCTGACTTACGGATATCCATTCCTGCAAAATTTTATCTTCTAAATGACAATACTACTATAACATTCAATATTTACGTGCAATTAAACTTCCCGACTTTTGTGAAATTAAATGTCCATTAAAAATTAAATATCCATATTGGTCTTACCTTTTTCGTTACTGATTGCTTTATCATCAATATCGTTCATGTTAAACAACAAGAAAACACTAACTGACAAACAAAAACTGAGAATGATGCACGATAATATGAGTACGTTAAACTCTACGAATTCAAACTTGTTCAAAACTACGAGTGCGATGCAACACTGATAAGTCGTACCAACCGAAGTGTTCGCGATTTCCAATACTATTGGACGATCTTGCGTAAAAAAGAGCTGTTAATAACTAACTTCGTGTCTCTCACGATTCGATTCGATTCGAGCGATTCGAACGAGAATTCCATTACACTGATTTAATTCTATGTGATAAAAACGAATGGCCGTAAGATATAAATGACAGGTAATGTTCTTAATTAAAGCGAAAAACATAAAAAAAATAAATAACAAGACAAAAACTAATTCCAGTTATGGGACATTTAAGGTACATTCAAAAAACTGAAGCAGTTAAGGCATTATAACTGAGGGAACTTTTTTACACATTAAGAATATGTTCTTAATTAATTACTTTATGAACAAAAGAAATATAATTTTACATATTATAATGATAATATAATGTAATTTTATGATAATGTATAACGATAATGTAATGTAAATTTACATATTATTAACGATTACATATTATTAACAAATGACATAAATTCTTAATTCTATCAGCAATTTCAGGTTTTACCATCTGTTCAGTTTTGTTCTCTTTGCTTTTATTATTTCTTGTATGCAAGTTAAACTAGACACTTGTTGCACACAAGTTAAACCACGTAGAGAAATAAATTATAACTTTTTGAAATGCAGTACTTCTCATTCAAAAATATTTGCTATGCATATATGCTACAAGTTAAGAATAAAAAGAATGACTTGATATTAATTATGGAACTACAAAACGTAATCCAACATGAATGAAATGGAAAAGACATACATGTATGTATTTCTGAAATATTATGTATGACTTCTGAAATATTTTCGTATTTTATTTCCAGATTAAATCTTGCAGATAGATTTACATTTACAGTATTTATGCTATAAGCTATAAGGCAAATTTTGTTTATATGTATTATTTGTTTATATTTACAGGCATTACTTCATTAACGAGATATATGCATTGTGTATATGCATACACCGATGTATACACATGTTGTTTAAGTGGTGTAAAATTAAGGGGAAGCTAAGGAGGAAACAACGCAAGAATAAGGGGCAAGGGGGGTCAGATAAAGCGGTTGACCCTCGCCCCTTCAATGACCCGAGAGATATCGTTCCACTAAATTCATTGACGCACTTCTCAGTCGAATGTATGGCCTCTTCTACTATACATCATACCGATCGCATACTTTCTCGTTATATACGTCCATTTTGATCTTGTGTCAGAACCGGAAATGCAGTTTCCAAAATTACTTCTTCTCCTTTGGTTCTTTATCGCGATGGGTCAATGCGATGTTGAAAATTCCATCGGTAAGTGGAATTCCATAATTTACGAAACGAAGATTTCCTCGTATTTGCAGTTATGGTGACACAAATCGATTGTTAATTTACTTATGATTATGATCTTTTTGTTAAGTGACATCAAAAGGATCAGTGCGATCTTTCAACGCGGTGTGAAATTTGAATTCTTATAATTTACGTGTTTTTTAAAAGATAACGCTTTCCAGGAAAGAATGACACCACAGCAGAAATAACGCTTGGCGAGAAACGACTCGAGGATCATATTCGCGCGATTCTAAAACACTATCAGCAAGAAGATCCAATAGGGCTACCTGGGGTGCCTATACCGGATCCTATGCCAGTACCGGATATGAAGCATTCATTCTCTATGTACACAATGAATTTCAAGAAAGTGAACGTTTACGATTTATCGAAGTTCCGGATAGTGAACATGGACTCGGAATTGGCGTTGATGCAAGTGAGACTTTTATCAAAAATTATTTACATATGTTCGATATAAGTGTTACAAACCTGGAGCAAGAACTTTGGAGCACAGCCGATAATGCAGATTATTCAAAACAATCGACAACGAAATTTGCAGTTACAGTGTCTCGAGATCAAAAGTTTCTTATGTCCGGAACAAAAATATCTATATATATAAATATTTTTTTTTTTTTTTTAAATTTAACTCACAGCCAATAAGTCACATTTGTTATTTAAAGGACAATTACCTGTCCCGCCGATTCTTCTTTAAAAAAACATACATTGCTTCAATGTACAAGGACGTCTGTCATCACGAAAAAAAAAAAAAGTTAATTATACGACCGTAACGTAAAACATCGTATCGATGACTAATCACAGAGGCATCGCGTCGTATAATTCAATAATCTTAGAACTTCTTCTAAATTAGTAATTGCACGATTACAACTGCATCGAATTCGTAAATTCGTTTTTTTTTTTTTTTTTTTTTTTTTTTGTAAACGCATTGGAATTGATTTTCATCTGACCATGTTTCTCTGAAGGTTTCAGTGACATTAAATATGAAAAATCTGAACATTCGTGGATTCTACACCCTCTCTTCTTGGCTCTCACGGACGGCTGGTAATTTTACTGTGAAATTGTCGGGTGTGTATGTAAAAGGGCTTGGTAGGCTGGAAGTAGCCAGCGATGGTAAACTACAGGCGCAGAACATCGATTTGGATTTGACATTTGAAAAGATAGACATGGACTTCAAAAATTTGGGCTTCTTAGGCGCTGTGTTCCAAAGCATGATTAATTCTATAGGCACCTTTATTTTCGACAGTATTAAGCCTTTTATACTGAAGGAGATCAATACTAAAGCTAGGTAAAGATCATTCGATTCGACTTTTGTCGCAACAGGCTGAAACCGTTGAAAATTTTTTTGTATTTTAGGGGCGAAGTTAACAAACAAATCTCGCAGTTGCCACAGCATTTCCCGAATTCTATATCGCCTTTTGATATGTTAATAACAGAGATTCGCAAACAAATATCTGAAATGGGCTACGATCCGTTCAAGGTGAAGGATTATAGCCAAACTGTTGGTATATTTACGGTGACGTCGACTCATACTTGGATCACCGGCTTGGCAAGCGTTTACCGAATGGGAAATGTTACTCTGAGCATACAAAACAGAAAGGTAAATAGCTTGTTTTTCATTATTTTTCAAACATAGTCTCTTTAATTTCAAATTTCTTCAATATCTTCTATAATCACATCATTCAATGCGCGAAAGTGTGATATCTGTCGATATAATTACAGCATAATGTAGTATGATACCTGTCTAATAATTACATCAGTTATTACGTCGTATATTGTCAATCGGAAACACGCTGACTAATCAAATTTAATCACAATCCATAATTGTCTTGGCTCTGATGTAATCGATTTGTAGGCGTCGATGCATCTTAAATAAGTATACGTTCAGTTGTTTGCGTTTAAAGGTATATGCGACAATTGATGCTGGTACCCAAGAAATCGAAGGAAAAACTCATTGGGAAATAAGTGTGATCGGTGGTTTTTTATCTAGAGCCGGTACAGTTTCCTTCACCACGCAATATTTCAGAGTTCAAGTAAAATTAAGCCAACCTTTGGACACGCGGGAGAAGCCAAGCCTAGAAAGCCTTGATCTTGAACTGGGTAATATTCAAACTAGAGTTCATGGTGCAGGCACTATCGATTACTTAGTTGAAGCCAGCGTCAATATATTACCAAACCTTTTAAGGTTCGATCTTGATGTTTCTTCCACATTTATTCACAATCAACGCGTTTGCGTGTCGATCCATGATGTTATTGAAATGAGAATAATTTGTTTATTAGATATCAGATAATGGATGCGATAGAAGGACCGCTTAAAAGACGCATCCAAATGGAGTTAGATAAAGTGGACGTTGAAAAAGAGATTTACAATCATATTCCACATATAGAAGAACATGCTATGAGACACATTCAAGGTCTGATTCCTCCGGAAGAGACAGTGTTAGGGGAATTAATGCCGCCTGCAGATCAAGATGAACCCTTTTCGGAAAGTGAGGAAAATCGAGGCCCTTCGTAAAAATTGAACGTATTATAAATTATGTCAACAATAAAATAACTCGGTATTTAAATTATTTAAATTTGAAAATATGATCTTTTATCGATATCAAAGAAAATGCTTATCTAACAAGCATCGTGATAAATACACTGCGCAGCACACTGTGTGCTTTGTACATATTTTTATTTTGCTGAAATATATTACTAAAATATATTTTTGTTATAGATTATTGATAAAAAAATCTTAGTTTAGTATTTAACGTTTATTTATTGAAAAATAAAATGTACAATAACGTATATATTAAATCATAGTTACAAGTTCAATAGTTATAATAAAATTATAGTAAAATATTGTATAATTGAATTTCATATACTGAACCGTATAATATTAGAAATATACATATAGTTTAAATGATTTTAATACATATCTTTTGTAAAGGAGATTTATAAAAGATTTCAATTACAATGACAATATTGATCAAAATTCATAAGATATAAGTTACATTACATTAAATGTTTTGGTTAAACATCTCTCTAGTTCTTTTACTATGTTCTTAGTATAATTTCACATACCTAAAGAATTAAATTACTAGTTAAATATGTATGTTTTATACATGACTAAATCAAATTACATAGATATAAATCGAGCGTGTTTGAAGATAAACGATAAAGAAATTTTTTTAGACTTTTCAGAAAAAAAGTTTTATAGTGAACGTCTAATGCATTAGATCAGAAGAAAAGCACAGATAACATCGTTTATAAACTACGAGGGCTTGATTGCTGGCGCTCTGCTTCGTTTGATCGGCACGATTCTTTCACCGAGTGCTGGCAGGGCAAGTTTTGGAGCAGTGATCGTGAGAATGCAATCAGACGACAAACTTGTTTTAACGTGTTCCATGTCATATCCCTGTGGTAACATGTATCTGCGCACGAAGTGCCTCGATACGTAGCCATGTTCATCCTTCTTCTCTTTGTGTTTACCCTCGATGGTAATACATTTGTCGTCTGTCCTGACAGTTATCTCCTCTGGCGAGAATTTCTGCATGTCGACGACCACCTGATATTTGTTTTGGTCCTGCTCGATCGTGGTAAAACCACCAACTTGACGTTCCAATTGTTCCATCATGTTCATCCACGGCTGGAATTCGTTGAAAGATGGTGTCGGCGATAGATTCCAAAAGTCGTCCCTGGTGCTAGAGGAGATGCTCTGACGTTTGAAATGCTCTTCCAACTCTCGATGATAACGATCCGTGTCCCTCGACCGATTGCGGAAATAATCTCTCGTTACCAGTGCCATGTCGATGCGATTGATCTGTGTGATTTCAATGCGTCAGTTAAATGCGATGCATAACGTATATTACGTCAGAAGTAATCTCTGTGAAAGATCAAAATGGAAAATTCAAAAGGGAAAAATCAAAATATTCGTTAAGAAAGAAAAAAAAAGAAAAATTTAAAATTGAAAGCAAAGGTGAACTTAGAATCGAACGTATTGTGGATAAAAAAGAAAAAAAAATGGTTGACATAGTTGACAACGTTAGCACAACGTACAGGAATGTTGATTCTTCATATCGTTTCATCGAGAAATAAAGTATCTTATGTCACGCGAGAAACGAATATACCTAAACTTGCTGCAATATGAATCGAATTACACTGTGTTTTTACGCGATTCGAATGTCTATTTTTAGATACGCGAAATGCACCTGTATTACGTTATATCAACGTTGCGTCGATATAACGCAATTCCACAAAAATAATCTACTTCCTTGCATTTTCTGTAAAAATAGATAATGAAACATAATAGTTTCCAATATAGCTTGAGAGTCAAGAAAGGAAAGAAAAAGATAAGAGGGAAAGTTCTCGATAAAGCAATCTAAAGTTTGTTTAGAGTAAAAAACAGATTTTAAATTAAATTAGAAAGAAAGTTAGAATACATACCTCTCTTTAAGAATCCTTTATTTTTAGAAATCACTCAGAGGAAGAAATAATCATTCGTTTAAAATATAAAGTCGTTCGATAGTAGCTTGGAACGTTACACGATCCTTTCGCTTCGAAGTATAATTTCTGACTGCGCAGTTCTGCTCTATTGATTTATATTTGTCGCGCGCTTTTCCAGATCTTTCGAACTGTACATGCGCAGTCGAATTCTCTGCCGTTCGAGATACCTACTCGAATTTACTAGCGACCAATCAATATGTATCTTAACCTAGCTTCTCGTTTGTTCGAGTAATTTCCACGTAATTCAAAACATATTGTTTTGAATTGTCTTTTTCATACATTTTCCGATCTACGTATCTAATTCAAGGTTATTTTATGCACATTTTAAGCGCATTTTAATATTTTGTTCTTCGTAGCTGCTGAATCGTAAAATATCTTAGTTTTTTTAATGAACGTACGTCAAAATTATTTAAAACTATTACTGTTAAAACTATTGCAAAAGATAATTTCTTTATTAATATATATATATATATATTTAATATATATTTAATACATATATTACTAATATTTGTTTATAGTAATTTTTACTAGTAATTTTTTATTATTACTGTATTTATTTATAGAATTTTTCAGACTTTTCTATTTCAATAATTGTAATGATACCGAACCGACGGTATCGATAAAACATCTCATTTAGTGAAGTCATCAGGGATAAATTTGAAATCAATGATGTACATGTAATATTTATATTCTAAAAATACTATTTAACAAATACGTTTGATTCGATGACGAATTTTATTCTAAGATTATTTTTATTTTAGCATAGAAGCACGGTAAGAAGTCGAAAAATATAGCTATTGATTCATACAAGAAACATTAGAAAACAAATAGATATATCAAATACTGAATTATATATATGAAATTTGACATTTGCGATCTAAAAATAGACAATTAAATCGACTGGACGGTAGCGACCTCTCTATACCTTTACGAATACCATAAAAATTCATAGACTCGATAAAATAGAATGTTTTTTTACCATGGATTGATATAGTATTTCTATCACCGTTTTCTATCCGCACAATTAACAAACGCGGAAAATTTAAAATCTTTTTAATAATATTACGTAATCATTGTCTCCAAGAGTAAAGTAATAAATAATTTCCAATAAAATAATAATTTTTCTAACAAAAAGTACAAAAAAATAAATAAGTAATATTTAACAAATATAAAATGTACATAAAGATGACAATTATAATAAAAAGATAAATGAATAAAAATACTATAAATTTCATATTCTTTCACTTAATATATTATTTATTTCATTTGTTCAATAGTATATTACTTATTCTTAAATTTAAATATAAATACAAAAATGTTTCAATTTGTACTATATTTATACATATATTCTTTTATCCTATTTTTATGCGGAAATTTCTAATGGATATAATACTTTGTACGGATTAAGTATTCCATTTGGATCCATCATTTTTTTTAGTTCGTGCATGAGTTTGATTTCAGAAGAGGTTCTGCTCATGTGTAGATATTTTGTCTTTACGAATCCTATTCCATGTTCGGCACTTACGCTACCACGAAGTTTAGACACATATTCAAAAATGAAAGGTTCTAGCTGCGATGCTATTTCAGGTTCGTATGACGGTATTGAAACCTGTACGTGAATATTCCCATCGCCTAATAGATAAAAAAATATGAAATAGTTTAAATTGGAGTCTTCGGCTGTTCGAATTAATTTCCAAATTATTTAGTTTTAAATTCAAGAAAATAGAAAAAGTTTAATAAGTATTTAATCATACCTAGATGTCCGTAACCACTGATTCTTATAACACGTGGATCACGCAATCGTTCTTTAATTACCTCGATCACTTTGTAGTAAGACGAGATAGGTATGGAAATATCATACTTAAACACATAGCCCTCCCGTAATACTCCTTCGCTAATGCGTTCCCTCAATGCCCATATATGCTATACAAAAACAAAAATCATTTTTTTAATTTCCACTGAAATTACTAACTTTTTGCAAATCACGTTGTCATTTTTCATTTTCAAATCGAAATTGATATTTAAAATGGAGGTATAGGAAAAAAAAACAATAAGAAGAATTACTTATCATGAACAAAAGATATAATTACTAACTTTGACTTTGGTAGGATCTGAAGTAAGAGTACCATCTTCGATAATATCATCAGCGAGTGCCTTCTCGACAAAAGATCCGAGCTTCTCTTCGTCGTGGTTCACGTTGCTACCGGAAGTCTCCAGCAATACATAAAAATCATGACCGTCGGTTTTCGATGTTAATGGACTTTTCATGCCGAAAGTCGTGAAAGAAATATCAATCGAATCTCTGTCCATCATCTCAAACGAAGACAGAATCTCTCCTAATTCCCTTTTCGCCAGACGAAACGCTTTCAACACTTTGTCGAAGCTGTTTAACCCTACAATAGACGACGAGTTCTTAGATAGAAATACAGAGGAAGAAGTTCACAAGAATTCGTAGAATACCTAAAAAGGCGACATTGATGGCCTTGGGAAGCGGTGGACATTGAATTGCGACTTTCGTTACGATTCCCAAGGTACCTTCTGACCCGATGAAAAGATGTTTCAAATGGTAGCCAGTGTTGTTCTTCTTCAGCGTGTTTAAACAGTCTATCACTTCTCCGTTCGCTTTCACCTAAAATAAAACGGCTGAACACGGGGAACATTGCGGGCGGAGAAAATACTGCGATTTTGTTTCTTGAAATTTGAGAACTCACGGCCTCGAGACCTAAGATGTTTCCATGAAGATTACCGTAACGAAGGAGTCTCAAACCTCCAGCGTTTGTGGACACGCAACCACCGATCAGGCAACTACCCTTCGCTCCAAGATCAATCGGCATCATTAATCCTACTGTCCCTAAATGATTATCCAGATCTTCGAGCACACAGCCAGCTTCGCAGGTCAACACCCCTAATGCAAAGAATTCGTCAGACGAAAGAATAGCTAAGTTCGTTTCTAAAGTGTTCATTTCAACAAGATTTTTACAATACCGATGACTCAGCCTGTTCATTCGAGATCTTCAATTTTCTCACTTTCCCGTCATGAACATGCGAATATTACCGGTTTGAATTTCAAACTTTACCAACCTGCCAATTCATTCGTCTCGATGATTTTGTTCATAAACTTCATGGAAATGACGATCTCGTCGAAGACTGGCACGCTACCGCCTACAAGACCCGTGTTGCCACTTTGAGGGCACACGGCTAACCGATTCTCGTTGCAAAACTTTAATATAGCAGACACTTCGTCGGTGGTTTTCGGTTTCAATACGAGTGTGCTCTTCCCTGTAAGTAATTCGTTTCAACACCCAACAACCTATGTCCTATGTGTTAACGTCGATTCTTTCCTCAACTTGTTACTTTCATTCGATTCATGGACAAGAAGTTGCGAGCTGTCACAACATCGAAATATCCAACAAAACTTTTTATCGAAATATCGTAAAAATGTCCATAGCACAATTCGAAAGATCGACGGCCGATTGTTGCGTTCACTTACCTCTGACGATTTTCGCATAATCTATGTTGTATCCTTCGCATTCCTCCGCATCCGCGATGACTCTGTTCTGTCCAAGTAGCTCGTTAAAGAATGCCACGTGATTATTAGAAATACTCGCGTACGGGCCTCTTTTCACTTGGTACCTGTCGGATGTGAACGCCGGTTTCGTCGAGGAAAACCGAAATCCCGAGATGCGCTGGAATGTCCGAAGCAGGATACGAGGACTCATGTTCTGCAAAAGATTTCCCCCGAACGATTCAAATTTATCGCATCGACGTTTTTTTTACCAGCTACGAGAAGATCCGTTCCGTTGCGAGCGCACGAATCTTTTCCGGTGTCGCGTGAGTCTATTACTTCCGGTGGTGAATTCGATGATCAACGAGGCTCGATTAATTCACACAGCGACCGTTCTTTTCATTTTTAATAGGAAAGTTCGCTTCTCAACTGCGTCACCTCATCGGTGATTGGATAAATTTAGTGCAACGAGTATTTTTGCTCGCCGCGGTTAGAACCGCGGTGGATAGTGTCGCGATCTAATTGAAACGAGATATTTCCGTAACCCGGTCAAAAATTTAACCGATGGAAATATCCGCAGCAGGTTCGAAGCGACACGCCAATGCTACAGTGCGATTCATTTACACGTTTATTATGTTTATATCAAGCATCGGGTGTAACATGCGAATCGTACGTTCGTGCTTTGGTTTAAACATTTCTCGATGTTCAAATCGATACGAACGAATGTTATTACCAATATTCGCTACTTAACGTTGCAACGTCGCGTACATGCTACCTATTTGTTATAAGATGGAAGAAGTCGCATGCGAATTTCTGTGAACGGGGACAAAGTAGAAAAGAAAAGAAGAAAAGAGAGGGAGTGAGGATACAAGGGACAAGGACAGAACGAAATGACTCTCGTGACTGTCGAATGATATGGTGATAGTACGGTGAAAATCAGACGTGGCGTAATTATGGGGCTCGGGCTCCTTCCATTTTCTAATTCGTCCCGATGTTCGATCGACGGACATCGAATGTTATAATTCACAATGAATGTTGATGGCTAATACCCCTCCTCCTTACGCACTACCATCGTATCCCCCCATCGGTCGTTCAAGAGGATTCGCGGCGGCGCGTAGTAGAATTACAATTGTACGGAGCGATGGGGAAAATAAGGTCAGGGGTAGAGGGGTCGAAAGAGCAAAGAGAGAACGCGAGGAAAAAAGAGAACGAATCGACTAACAGAGATGCAAATCTGCCGGGGCAGGAAGAAAGAGGAGAACGCGAGTGGGAAAGAGAGAAACTAATAAGAGATTGGAGTGGGAAGGGGACCAATCGTCGCGATGACTAATACACTCGCGTGTGCATGCACGAGCTTAGCTCGCTTGTGTACGTTTCCCTCGTACACAAGAACACGAGGAGGACACTTTCTCGCTCGGCGTACATATATACGTACACATGATGGCGCGTTTGTGTGAACAAATGCACACACAGAGGAAAGCTGAGCACGAACACAAAGAAACGAAAATGTACGCGTGACGCTCTCGGGAGGGAGTAGATGTAGTCGATATAGGTGTGAGATATCGCTATATCGAAACGTAGGATACGTAGCTACGAGTTTCTAAGGTAGGACGCATGCGCGACACCGCCAAGGAGTAAAGCTAATTTCTCAGTGGCGGCTCGAATCATTAACTTGTTACCTTGGCAACCCCGGTCGACCTAAACCATTGGCTGTCGCTGTCCCCCACTTTCCCGCCGCACGCTCTATCGGTCGAACAGCAAACTATATACGCCACCACACTCCGCGGAATATCGTAATTTTCCTAACCTTGCGTGAACAAGACTATAGACTGTCGCTGTACCATCCGACCTACACAGTCGCATTCGATATACTGTAGTATATGTTAGGCATGCCACCGTAGAGACGCGGTTGCTGGGATTGGCGCGACCACGACTATTCCTACCCTCTGCACGAAACATTCTACTGTCTCGCTCTTTGCCGAAATCTACGATCGGTATTAGAAGATGACCGATAAATCGGCCGATTTCGCGCTTTATGGTACATCATTCTTTTATCTTTTATACACGTTATTAACGTATACGTATTATTAATGTACATTATTTATGTATACGTTACATTATATATATACATAGAAAGAGAAAGAGAGAGCTACACTAAGTTATGGCATAAACAGTATCGAAGAAAGAATACATTTGTATTCTTCGGAAAAAGTACATTGATGATATTAATGATATTAATTATATATAGAAAAATTATAAAGTACGGTTGAATCAAATCTATAAATAATAGCATTCAAAATTTTAAACTTATAATCGATACTAAACAAGAATTATTGTATGATGTAGTAGACCATTCAAATCACAGGTTCAGCAATTTAAATTGAACATAAAATAATGTAAACTTCATATTTTACAGCGAGTAAATGTTTCATCTATTAGTTTAAAAATATAATAGTCTTTTGCGAAAAAGTATCATCCCTGCGAAGGGAAAAAAGCTAATGATAAATGAAATCGCATTACAAGGTTTTGAACAGGACAGTATGAAGCTCAACTTAGAAACAGCTGTGCCAGGAACGTAGCGCATATTTGCGAAATTGGGTCGATGAGTACCCCAAAATTGAAGAATTTACAAAAGTTATTATTTACACGAAGCTAATTGACTGATTATATAAAATAGTTACATAGAAGCCAGTTACGTTTCTGGACACGTACATATATAAACACATTCGCACTCATATGCACATGAACGCACATTTACTTTTTTCATTTCATGGTCTTGCTTAACACATTTTATTTTATGCTGTTCGTAGAATCTAAAAACTTCATTCAGTTTCAAAATCTGTATTTTTCTAATTAATTATACCAAACAACCATGTAATTACTACAAATTATACAGAAATAATTCCAAGAAATAATCTAGTATAAAACTATTTATTTTACTAAAATAATCATTAGAGACATCATAGTCGATGATCTTCGATATTTATTGTACATAAAAACAAAACAATAACTATATTAAAAAATGTATAACTCTATTAATATACATTCCGTAATATTATAAACATAACGATATATTATGTTTATTATTGATACTAAATAAATTATATTAGAAATACAAAATCTCAAAAGAGCGTGTAAAAAGAGTAACATAGAAATTAATGAAAAATATTCTTACTTTTACGTTATTTGAAATCACGTACAAATATTACATATGATAAAATATTCATCGATAGTTAGAGAATTAACATAGATATAACAATGTAACAAAATCCAACGGGCAACTGTCTGACTAGATTCGTCCCTGATAGTATTGCGGTGTTATACTGCGAAATATTCTGCAGACTATAATCGCGTATACATGCACAAGATGGCAAGTAATAGTATTGGTGAAGAACGTACGAGTGTGCGGGGTAAGAGTATGAGTACCGTTACGGGGCATGCGCCTGCAGCCACCATATCCAATGGCCCCGCCTTTGCCCCGCAAACGATGCCTTTGGGATTTGTCCTCGCTGGACCAATGAACGGGCGGGTTGTCACACGTGACGGCAGAGGTGAGGTTATAGGAAACCAAGTGGAGGGGAACAGACAGGAAGAAGGGCAGTGAGAGGGAGAAATGAGAGAAGCGAGGGGTACCGCAGATCGTGTGGGAGCAGGGAAGCAGCAACGAATGCGACTACAATTGCTTACGAAACCTCGCGACGTAAACGTATGATAACATTTTGTTTAAAACACTTACAGTGCGTTTTAAAGATCTAACAAACACAGACGTATATAACTGGAAGTTTGATCGAGCCAACAGTGGAATCGTGTAGTGACAGTGTCTACGGCGTGTTCGAAAACGTGATAGGTGTGACTGCGCAGTCGCCATGTGAGTACCTGAACAAGCATCCGAAATTCCATACTATATCTTGTACTTGGCATTTTTTATATATCTTTGCTGTACATTGTTGATATATCGATGATAATCACGCTATATTTTACATAACGTTTCATGATTATCAACAAATGTAGCAGATACACAACACACTTTGCATTATGTCCCGCCGGATCTTCGAACGTGCTTTATTTTGTAATCCAATATGTCGGCGTTAGGGACGCTGTTCGGTATTCACCGAGATTCAATTCTTCTACTGTGCGTATTATAATTTTTTTGATAGATCACCACTAAAATAGATAGTTTCTGAAGAAACGCGTGTGTTGTTATTTTATCGTCAAATATTACCATTATGGCGAAATCCATGTTGTCAACCGCCCCCTGGTACGATCGCTTCTCCCCTTCTCTTATTTTTCTTTCCCCCTTCCTCCTACTTCTCCCATCAACCCGCCTTCAATCGTATTTCCCGCTCAGTAAGATGTATTCCCTCTTTCTCTTTGAACCCCTCATCTTGCTACTAATTATGGTACTAGTAGGACGACATTTTGTTCCTTCTGTCCAAAACTCAAGATGGATGATATGTGTTTTTAGTTCATCGATACTTATGCATGAATACAGGTTTCTTCTTTACCATCTGATTGTCGCATCTCAACTATTTTAATTCACTATTTTAATTCAACGCATTTATATGTCCTTTTTTAACAAATTAATTCGTCAAATATTTTGTATAGAATTATATGTCACAATGCCACCAAAATACGCTTAACTTGACATACTTTTGTAATGTTTAATAACTATTATTATTAATTATATGAAAAGTCAGTAATTGCATACAAGTAATTAACAGTTGTTGTACTTTGTGGGAATATATACTTATGTATTACATATATACATATGTGAAAAACTTTAAAACGCATTTATATATATATGACAGGTCGGTTATATGAATATTAACATCCATTCCAATTATACAAGACGTCCATCTCTTAGCAGTGTATTCTACATATAAAAATGATAAAAAAAGTTCGTAACATATGTATATCTATTCAACCTTGTTTTCAAGTTGTGTTGGTAGAAGTTTATTATGATATGAAATAATTTATTAATAAATCTCAATATATCCTAGAATCTTATATTTCTATTTCTTATTAATCTCTTGTATGAAGTTAAAAAGTTCTATTAAGCAAATGTCTTCCAAGAAAATACTTTGTGTACAGATGTCTAACATTATTTATTACATTGAGCAAGTCAATTCTTAATTAGAATTCTTTTTCTAGTTACTCAGAAGATTAATAATGTAAAGACTCACATGAGAAATATTAACAAAAAAGTATTTACAAAATAAAAATGTAAAGTTCTGCAACAAATATTGCAATCATTAGTAAATAGATAAAATTGATTCAACTATTTCCTTCATTTACTGAATTGTACCAACATAAAACTCATTATACGTAAAAACAAGCCAGAATAGGACATACATATATGAACTTCTTCATTGTTTCATATGCTACGAGACATTTTGAATTTTAACTTCATTTCACATTCATTGATCTTAAAAAAATATCAAGCAACAAAATTGTATTAAAAACTTATTATTTAATATAATTTAATAATTAATATATAATTTTATATTTACAAAATAAAACATTATACCATAATGCGCGTTATATTTACGATTAATTTCATTAAAAGTATTTTTTTCATTTTAAATTTACGTACAATTAAATTTAAATTTACAACGTTACAATTGTAATTTATATAATGTGAAATATGAAAATTTTATTTGTGTTTAGTATCTATATGATGTATGATTTTTTTGAGGTTATCTATCGTATCTAAAATATTGACCATTTACGTATTTTAGAGAGAAAATAAATTACATATTATGTATCAAACAAATCAGTAATAAAATGATATAATGTTATATTATGTTTGTAAATTAAATATTTTAATATATAATTGCACTGAAAATTACAAACTTACTTTCACGTGCATTGATACTATACAAAATAACTTTTTATGTCATTGTTTGTAAATATATAATAGTTAATTTTTTTATTATAAAATTACTTACATTGTAAAGTAATCTTTGCCACTTTATTCACTATTATTGATGTTTCACCTTGTAATAAACGAAAAAAATTCAAATTTAAATGCTTCGCATTACACGTGTATCAAAAATTATCAAGGTTATGAGCAATTGCGTAATTTTTTTTTTTTTGTAGGAAATATACTACAATTAACATTTCAATACATTAATTGATATTTGTATTATGTATAACTGGTTACTTACTCTTAAAAATTTACGAAAAATTTAAGTCAAATTTTTAGTTAAGATTATTATGATTTATGCTTCAATAAATATTTGTTTGAGAGAGAGAGAAAGAGGGAGAGAAAATGAGAGAAAAAGAGAAAGCTATGTAAAGTAGAATTATAAATAAATTTATAAAATATAAATAACTGTTGTTTTTAATATATAATATCAATCTACTTAATACTTACAAGTCTATCTATATGAAAGGTATTAATTTAAAATAATTTTTATTTCAGGTGCGGCAAATTAAAAAGATTGAAAGTGATATTTTAATAAAAAATCTATATAAAATGGCAAGGAAAAAAACATTTAATTATTGAATGTATAAGTGTGGGGACAGTACTTCTTAAAGGAAGTTTATTTAAAAAGGTGTAAGAAAACATGACAGATGTTAAACCAATTGGAATCTCTCAAAATCAGCCACAACAAACACAACAGTCACAGCAACAGCAGCAGCAGCAGCAGCAGCCACAACAAACACAACAGCAGCAGCAGTCGCAACAACAACAACAACAACAAGCTCAACCACAGCAAATGATGATTGCAACCCATGATATCCAACAACAGCAAAATGTACAGCAACAACAACAGCATGTTCAGCAGCAATCATCTCAGCCACAACAAGTACCACAGCAAGCACAACAACAAGTACAATCTCAACAAGTTCAACCACAACAACAGATTCAACAGCAAGTGCAATCACAACAACAAATGCAAGTGCAACAGCAAGTTCAGCAACAAGTACAACAGCAAGTGCAACAACAGCAACAGCAACAGCAGTCTCAGCAACAACAGTCTAATAATGGACCTCATAACGTTGTTCCTACTCAAGTGCAGGTACAGCCACAGGTAGCAGCAATTATGCCCCAGCAGCAGGTAAAAATTTGCACAAAGGCATATTATTCTAAAAATAATTTTAAGCAATATATTTAAAAATTTTCATTTTTGAAAATAAAATATTCCAGGGTGCTGTTGCAGTATCAATGCAACATCAACAACAAGGAGTTGGAGGTGTATCTATGACCTTGTCTGGCCAACAAGGAGCAACAACTATAACTACTATGGCTGCACATCCACAAGCAGTGCAAGTTATTCAACAACCTATGCAAAATCAAGCATATCATTTACAACAACTTTATAATACTCAAGGAACTCCATTATTGATGCCAGGAAATTTAGCTCTCCATCCTGCTGGCATCAATCCTTCATCTATACAAGTACTTAAATACATTCATGATGTTTACTATTATTAAAGTATATAAACCTCTTTCTAAATAGGCTACATTACAGGTTATAACTGCTGGGAAGCCATTTCAATCTGCTGCTCAATTGACACCTCATATGCTAACAACAGCATCAACACCAGGTCAAGGGGGTGGTCATCCTGCAGCTGGAGGAACTAAAGTCCAAGGGTTTCCTACAGGTTATTTACCAGTACCTACTTCAGCTACACCTGGTGCAGGACAAACTCTGGTATTTGGTCAACTTGGTGTACTTGGTTCTCCTCAACCACCTCCGTCTATACAACAACAACAGCAACAATCTGCAAACAAACAAGATCAAGTGCAAAAGGTAATTATCTTAATTTTATTATATTCAATTCATATTTTATATATATATTGTTTCCAAAATGTGTAGTACACTACGTGTACAGCGGCTACTCCATCTGGTGGACGAGGTGGTATGCAGTTTGCTCCTTGGCAATTTACACCACAAGTTGCTTGGACTGGAATACAACCACCAGCACTTCTAACCAATCAAATATTCATTAGAGGCCCTACTCAACCTGATATGTTTATACAAAGTCCACAACCAATTCAAGCTCATAATGGTTAGTTTTTGTATTTATAATGAACAAATTTTGTACTATCAGTTAATTGATCATCATACTTGTAGCACTAGCTACGCAACAACAAATTCAAGGAGTACAACAAATTGCTGCAGCTAGTGGAAAACCAAAGGTAATGGATATACAACAACAACAGCAACAGAGTAAACAAAGTACAGGTGGACAACGACCTCTGAGTATTTTGCCGTCCTCTTTACAAGCAGTACAAGCTGCTAATATACGAGCTGCCAGTTCTGTTTCAACACAAACTGTTCATGGAGTACAAACTATGGTACATGTACAGGTTATTATAATTAGTTGGAAAAATAATTTCAACTATTGCAATTTTTCGAATCACGTGCAAAATATATAGAAGTTTTTTTTTCTGTTTTCATATAATGAAGAAGTTTTTTTTTATGTTTTGTAACTTAGAGTGGAAAAGGAAGCGGTAGTAGTGGTAAAGGCCGTGGTAAACCACTGCAATCGCCGCAACAACCGCAACAACAGTCACAGCAAACGATGCAGCAACAACATCAACAGGTTTTTATTCAACAGAAACAGCACACGCAGCAGCAACAGCAAATGCAACAGCAATATCAGCAACCGCAAGTGCAGGCATCACAACAGCAAATTCAACCGAAACCAATAATGAGTGAGACGATGTTTCATATATTATTTACAAAGAAATGATATAAGTTTTTGTAAGTTTTTATATATCTGCTACATATTTTTGTAGCAAATATGGCTCTGCAACAACAACAACAACAACCAGGTGTAGTTCTTGGTGGGGAACGCCCGATTATGCCTGTAGTTTCGGTGAGCGGAGTTGGCGTTGCTACATCTCAAACGAGTCAAGTACAACAATCTCCTATGTCTGCGGTACAACAATTACCATTACAGGTATTGAACATGAAATCTTCTTTCAATAACATTTAAAATTAAATATCTCTATAGCATATGTAATATAATTCCTTTAGGCAATCAATTCGACAATAATTGGTAGTCAAATAGTTAGTGGGACATCACAGGTACAAACAATGTCTATGATAAATCAAACAACCGATCAGCAAACACATGATAATAACAATTCTACAATAATGATCACGTCACCTGATCGTCAAGCCGAATGTTCTTTAGTATTATCACCTGCTACAAATACTCCTCCAGCAAGCGAAGAGAATTCTAAATCAGTGGTGAAAAAGGAGGATTCAATTCCAGTCACAATAGAAGAAGTTACAGTATCTCAGCCAGAAACTACAGGTTCATTAAAAATATATACTCGAAATAAATACATATGTGCATTTTGTATCAACATTTGGATTTTATTGTCTTACTATCATAGATGGGGACCAATCTAAAGTAGCTGTAAAAGATGAAGAAAATTCATCAGTAAAATTAGAAGAGAAATCATGTAGCAATCCTTTAGCAGGACTAGCGAATACAATTAATTCTATTACAAATGGTGTAAATAATGAAGATTCAACAGCAATTCCTGTTTCGGTACCAGTTAATGCAAATAGTAAACATGTACCACCGAAAGCGATGGTTAAACCACAAGTTCTTACACATGTAATTGAAGGCTTCGTTATTCAAGAAGGTATAAAGTTAATATTTTATATACATATATTTCGACTATTTTACACATATATATAATATATAATATATCTCAGCATCTGAACCATTTGCTGTTAATCGAACGTCATTAAATAATACAGTTAATCAAGAAACGAGTAACATTTTAAATCGTAATAGTAATTCATCATCTGAAAAAGATAATCATGAAGAACCTCCAAGTAAGATTTAAAAAATTAAATATGTTTTTAATATACATTTTTTCCACAAAATATAGAATATATCATATGTATTGTGTAGGGAAAAAACACGCACCCAATTATCCCAATGACGAAGACGTAAATAATGTTCATATTGGAAAGTGCGAAGCTTGTGGTAATTTAATAGATGAACAAAATATCAAATTCAAAAAAGAGAAACGATTCTGTTCTTCCAGTTGCGCTAAGAGGTTAGTAAATAAATTATTTTGTAATTTAATTATTAGATTAAATATTGCAAAGAGAGATGTATCATAAATTTTGAATTAAATAGTAAAAAACGAGAAGCAAGAGACCGTGATGGTACTGAAAAACAATGGACTGAATTAGAGACTGAATCAAAAACTGATGGAGATATAAAAAAGAACGGGGAAGAAAAATCATTGTCTAGTACAACCACTACTTCTTCCGTTGATGAAACACTGCCTAAAATTAATCCTGTGAAGTGGACGGTAAAGATAACAAAATAAGGTTAATACAAAATAAAAATCATTAATATAATTGAAAATTCTTGCTTTTTATAGGTTGGTGAAGTGTGTGATTTTATACGCGGATTACCAGGATGCGCGGATTATGCGGAAGATTTTGCTATTCAAGAAATAGATGGTCAAGCATTAATGTTACTCAAAGAGGATCATCTTATGTCAGCTATGAGCATTAAGTTGGGTCCTGCATTGAAAATCGTAGCCAGAATCGATTCAATGCGTGTGGAGTCGTCAAACTCTAATCCTACATCTAATAGTTCATAAATGTTTATTATTTAAGATTTTTACTCGCAGAATTTCAAATTGCAGCCTATGAGCTACAGGGTTTGTGCAAGTATTTGATTGGATTATAGAGATAAGATATTTAAGAGAAACATAAGATACTGTTTCGTTTGATAAAAATATTCTTTTCTTTTTTTTAAACGAAATAAGAAGTTTAATTATTAATATACTACTTCTAAGTTCTACTCTTATGATTTAAAGATCGATCTATGTAAGACTAAGTTTCAAGCTATTTTTATATATTATTATATATATTATTATATGAAATAACTATATTAATATGATATTGCAAATAAAGTATAATATGTATTTAATTTTTTAAGTTTAGTGTACTATATTGATGACTCATGAGTCTATATAAGAATATATCTTAAGTGGTAAGTCTTACACTGATTGATTTTTACAAATGTAAATAGAACCTAATTTTTGTAACTTTTCTTTGAACTGTATATCTGCTTTTAAAAATTTTTCTAAAATATTGCCGTTTATCTAGTATGATCAAGAAACTGAGTACAAATTATGTCTATTACACAAAAAAAAAAGATAAAATGTATATAAAATATCCGGCATACATATATGCGATGTATTTTGTACTCGAAAATTCCTTTTGGAAACTGTATAAAAACTATTGCCTTCTGTAAGACTTACAATAATCAAGAAAAATATCTGGCATTTTTTAAATGGTTAGGCTTTATGATAAATAATAATTTTTGTGCATGATAATTTCAAATTTAGGTACAAGATACTTGAAACAATGCGATGACACCCTTAACTATGTACTACTTTGTAAATGTATCATGTGCACTCAATTTACATACGTGTAAATATTAGACATAAGATGTTTATTTAATATACAAATTTTATAACATAAAAAACATTTCAGTCGTTAACAATAGCTATCCTTCCATTTAGAACTAGTTTTTAATTTAATAACAATAGATTATACATATACAAGAAAAATATATCTCTGTATAAAACATGTGATGTTGATTGAGGAACAAGATGTATTGTATAATATCCTATAAATGTGAAACATACTCAACAAAATGAAATGAGTATGAATGTATTATATCATTATTCAATATTTGCCAACAATGTAAATATAATAATATTCTGTAAATGTTTATTAAATAAATTTATTAGTTTTTTATTTAATAATGTAGAGATTGGTAATTATTATAAAAAAAACTTTTATCAAAATTAATATTTTAACAAGGAAAATAATGGCATTTATAAAGAGTACTTTCATACTACAATCTATATTTAATTTTTAATAGTACCTTATTAATAATGATAGAAATAAAGCACTAAAAAGTTTAATATAACAAGTAATCAGATAAAGATACAATAATTGTAAAAGTAAAATATAAAACATTTGTTAATTTAAAATTATTCAGGGTATAAGCTCGTGATATTTTTTTTTATATTGATTTAAATGGCATTGTACAACAAAATTCTGACAAATAAATTAAAACTGTAAAAATAATATGAATTTTACGTTACACATACATAAATATACTTTTTTCTTTCATAATTTGACAAATACTTTATTCACCATCTACAATTTAAATTTATTGAATATAATAATGTTCTTTAAAACATTTAAAATAAATACATTGAAAATAATTCTAAACATTTTACTTAAATTATTATTTTAGTTTGTTAGCATCTACTTTTATTTTAACTAACAGCTGCTGTATATTTTCCTTCTTTTAACAATTCTTCATTATTCTTCACTTGCATTTCTCGTAATGCTGGTCGAACATATTTAAAATAAATATATCCTTTATATACTAAAGCTGCTCCAGAAACTACTGTAAGACCCATTAATACCATTACACACCCTCTATGAAGTTTATCTAAAATATAACTTCGTTTGGCATATTTTGGAATCATTATTAATTGTATCGCAACAATCTTTAAAATATATAAATCTGGAACATATATATTTATTTCTACAAATCACATAACTGAAAAACGTAATAAAATTTATTCAATTTATAATTTTTATATATTAATTACATAATTTATTATAAGTACCTGTGTTAAAAACAGTATAAGTGAAAATAAATACAAGAGCACGCAGGATTACAAAGCTTTGATTTCTATTGTTTTCCAAAATATTAAGCGTTTTATATTTGAGGTTAGGTGTCCGCACGTTCTGTTCAAGCAAATACAGAAAACTATATTTGATATGACACGATGTTGAGAAGAAGAATAAATTTATAAATATAGAATTTTGAATTTATAAATATCTATAAATATATAAATATAGAATTTTCAATCTATAAATGTTTATAAATATATAAATATAGAATTTTTAATCTATAAATATCTATAAATATATAAATACAGAATTTTCAATCTATAAATATCTATAAATATAAAAATATAGAATTTTCAAAAACAAGTATTAATGAACTTGATATGTTTCTAATAACACTTTATATTTTATATTGTTCAAATAAACATATAAAACCATATTTTTAAAGTTATCTAATTCTTACACAACTTACAATACAGATTTATATTTATACAAACAATATTATATAATTATTTATTACATGTTTTTATATCTTAGAGTACGTAAAATAGTTTTAACAACATTATTTTTTTAATAAAATAGCAAAAATAAGGTTCATTGTTAATTTTTTAGAAATTCATTATACATTGTTGAATCTACATCCAAAACTATCTCGTCCAATGAAGGCCCTTGTTGTGATACTGGTAATTCTAAAATAAAAATGATCTCTATTACACTTTAAAATTAAATTAATTTTGTACTCTTAAAATATATTAAGACATACTTGATATAGATCCTGTTGCTTTATATTCTTTAAGTTCTTCTTTAAAAACTTCATCAAATGTTTCTCGTCTTTCTTTCATCATTTTCTGTTGTTTAAATTCATATTTTGATACCCTTTCAGTATGCTCGTCAGCCAATTTTGCTAAAATTCACATTTTTGTGTTACTGTGATTAATACATTTCAAATACTGTACAATACTATACCTTTAATAACATTTAATTCTGCAAGTTTTTTCTCTTTATATAAAGCTAATTGAAATCTGTGATCCAATTGTCTATTTTGCAAATCCAACATCTCATTTAAATCCTCCAATCGATATATTGCACCTTCTACCTCCTCAAACATTTCTTGTAATGTTCCTTTAGTAACACAAAATATTAAAAGTTTGTTTTTTATACTCATGTTTTTATTAAAAATATATTTAAAATAGTACCTATTTGATCCATAAGATCTTGTATTGCATTGTTGATTTTTGGAATGTATGCTAAAGTACTATTTAAACATGTAATATTTTTCCATTCTTGTTCAAGTTTTTCATAAATGGTTCCAATGAGCTTATCAGCTTCTTGAGCTTTGCCTGCATTTTCTTCTGCGAGTTCATGCAGTTCATTCCATTGCAATTGAAATCTATGTAAGATATCAGCTCCTGCATTATAATTAACATTTCTGATATTGCCAGTCTTTTTTTGTTTTGGATTTTCAACAACAGTCAATCCTCTAATACTAAAATAATGAAATTAATGCAAGGCATATATAATATAAAGTAAATTATTTTCAATTTCATTTTTTATTATTGTATATTAGAAGTATATTAGTATTATATATTGTATATTGTAGATTAAAAAATTAGAACTTTTACCTAGCTGATATCCCTTCTTGGACTGTTTGAAACTTGTTACGTAAAGTATTAAACATGATTATAAATTATTCTATTTTACTTTTAAATTAATTAATATTATTGCATAAATTACTAATAAAATTTAATTTAATATATTTTCTACATGGATAATGTATTATTAAGCATATCATGATCATATAAAATATATTTTTTGTTGACACATTTATCAATGATAAAAACTGTTTGTAGCGAGCTGATCTTCTCAGCTTATGCTAAAATAATCATTTCTTAGCATTGAAATATTTGTGTGTGTGTGTGTGTGTGTATATATTTCACAATATTTATGTGGAAAATTATTATAAATATTGGTAGCATTAAGCATTAAAATAACCTCTATTTTGTAAACACTAATAACAGTTCATTTGTTTCCATTCCATAGTATTGAGTATAGAACAAACTTCAGAAAACAATTGTCAATTGTCAGTGATAATATTTGAAATTATAATTCTAAATATTCTTATTAATTATGATGAATATAAAATTAGCCAAATTATATATTTAATAAGAAAGTTTATTATTTAACACTTTGTTTATGATATTTAGTTAATCCAAAAGTATGATTAACTTATATATGCTTTGATTAAAATTCATTATTTCATGTTCTATGAAAAATATAACACTGCGAAATCTTTCTTTTAGTTGGTAACACTGATGATGACAATTCACATATGCAATACTTAATTAAAAATAATAATTACTTTTTATATGATAGTTATTAAAAAATATATTTTAAATTGCAAATAATGATGTAAATTTGTATTGTAAATTTGTCTGAAATATATAAAATATTTTATGTACTGAATATTAACATATAACATTCTATTAACATTGTGTATTTTCAAAGTATAAAAGATATAATTTACATTTGTAAATTTTAGATCTCATGCTAATAAACGAGAGAACCATTATTTATTTTAATATAATATAGATTCAATATTATATCAAAATTAAAGCATAATTGCACAATAAAAATGGACAGAAAGCTTTTATTACATTTATTAGTTTGAATTTAGTATACACATAAAAATTTAGTCCTCTAGATTTTGATTATATGTTTTCGACATAAAACAATTTGACAACATTGCTAAAGCTTAACTCCCTCCCTTTGACAATATGACTGGTGCCTAGCAACCGGTGAGGTCAACAAAAAAACGAGGTCAAATTGCAAATTACCTATATAAGAAAAATTAATGAAAATAGATCTAATGAAATAATACTTTATAAAAATAATATTTTATTAGTTATTTAATAAAATATTATTTAATAAACTATCAACTTAATTTTAATGAATATAATTGAATGGAATGAAGAGACCATGTAGTTTATTATTATTATCAAAACGAAACTTTGGTAGTTGATGTTATAGTGATATAATGTGACAAATATTTCAGTTAAAAAGAGATCTTGGTACAAATGTTGTTATGTTTTTAGTATACGATACATTAGATTAATTTATCTACAAATATAAATTTTATTAAAATACAATAATTTTAAAAGGGTTTGATTTATGTACATACTCAGAAATATTGTTTTTGAGTTTTATTCAGGACAATTAATTATATATTGAAAATATACAATATAAATTTAAACGATTAAGAATAAAACGGAGGAAAAACAATTTTGTGTTAATGGAGTCTACAAATAAAACAGTACTCGTAGTGTACATGGCGGAACCGCAGAACTGTTGGAGGTATCCCCTCTGTTGCCAAGTTTCTTCTACCTGCATGTTCAATTTCGAAATGTTAGAATAACATCAATACAATCACTAATAATGAATTTTTAGAACAAAAAGTTTTATTTATATATTTATTCATCAAATACTCATACTTTATTTATTCTCTGTTTTACATTTTTATAGTGCATTTTTACATTTTACGTGTTGTTGAATTAATCATATTTGTTTATATTATTTATTTACAAAACGTATCCTAATGACACAGAAAAAAAATATAGACTACTGTTACACTGTTGCAAAGCATTTAAAATTATTTATGTAATAGCTAAATAACGTAGAAAAGTATTTCATTACGTCGAAATTAGTTTTTTCTGAAAGTAACCTTGAACTAGTTGAAGTCCTATTAAGTAGAACCTTCACTGAAATCTTTATCTTTTTCTATCCCTACCACGTATGCAATGAGCATAACTTGAACAAACCTTGTCAGAGAAGGTTCGAAGTTCAAGCTTAGAAAGTTGTGCGCAACTCGCAATGAAACCAGATTTGTTGGAGAGGGAGGAGTAGTCAGGGATGTCGGGTCAACGTACGTATCCAAGTATCCCCTTTCTCCTTGCGTCAAGTTAGACCGCTACTATATCGTGGTGAACTCGTCTCCTCCATAAAGACGATTACCTTTCTGCGCATACTATCATGACTACGACGCATACTATGTATTAAGAGTTGCCAACCAAAGGACGAGGAATCCATGGTAGGGATGAAATCAATAGTCAAGTATTCCACGGAATGAGAATGTCAACTTATATTTAACCATTCAACTGTTTGCTTGAGTTTTATTCGTCGTAAATAAAGCGACAAAAATAGTTGAGAATAAATCTCTAACAATAATTATTTTTACGTTCGAAGATAAAACACGTATTAAAAAATACATAATATGCAACGACCCATGAATTGTACTTTCTGATTATTTCAACGTCACATTGTACAATGTAGCCATAAATGTATTCTAAAAAATTCGATACGAAAAGAATATTACATAAATATAAAAATCTATGAAGTTGTGATTATCATAACGAGTGTAATAGATTTTCAATTTCAATTCGAACTAAATATAGAATTTTAAGCTCAAGTTGTTTAAGTATCTGTAGCAAACTGTACAGAACCTGTTACGATCAATAGATGCCAGACTCGGTCGTTTTCGACATGTTCCGTTAAGTTCCCCTACTATATTCATTCCTGTTGGCCTCCAACCATTTATGCCACGCCTTGTTCACATGTATTTTCCCGGTAAAACCGGTTATTTCAGGTATTCTTTTTGCACGCTTTTCCATAGAAAAACTACAAATAAAAACATTTCTCTACCATTGCATCAACATTAAACTTTGATTTTTTACTTGATCGAGAAAAATAAATTTGAAACTTTAGGACATACAATATATATAAGATAATATGTAGCATGTACAGAATAAATAAAACAAATAAAATATGTTTGGAAACAACAAATTTTTGTAGCACACTGTACCTATAATGTTTAAAGTAATTTAAAGTAATAAGATACATATATATATATAAATAAATGAAAATAGATATTTTTTGCATTGATGGATATAAATTGTGTATAAATTATAAATATAAAAAAAAATTGTAGTGACATTGATGTATGCTATATTTTTTGGTTCCAAAATCCATAAAATGTCTGTCTAATGAAAACTGTCATAGCTGCACTGTAGAATTTAGGTATACAATGGTTGATGAGTGGCAATTGGATAGTTAGCGTTGACGAGAATTTGTTGGAGAATTGTATGGATTAAGGAAGAGAGAGTGGAACATTGAAGAGACAACAGACTAGAGGGAAACAAAAAGAGAGGAGGAGGAGGGGGAGAGAGAGAGAGAGAGAGAATAGAAGTTAGAAAGAGTAATAACAAAAAAAAGAGAGAAAAGAGAATCAGTTAATGGGAAAGGAAGGGAAAAAGATGGTCCATTAGTTGCAAGAAAAAGCAGGGAAGGATAGAAAACAAGAGAAGAAAAGTGATGTTCGAATTGCGCCTGCGTCGACAGTACTTGTTATGAGCGGATTGGTTCCCTACTCATACTTGAGTGCACGTTAGGTTGACTTAATTTCAATTCGGACTCCTTCGCTGCTCCCCACCATTTTTAGTTCCAACATATATCTCGTTCGGTTTCTCTTGTTACTATTGGGTTTCATCTGAAGAGCGTGCAAAATGTTGCGACCCAGAAATTAATTTCATACATCCCAAATAAGGTAGAAATCTGAAATGAATGTGAACCCTTTTTATTAAAAGTTTCGACAAAGGAAGGTGCAACAGCGAAGGCAAACAAAATCGCAAAAAAAGAGAAGGTGAAAGAGAAGGAGAGGAGAGAGGAGAGGAGGAAGAGAGAAAAAGAGAGGAAGTGGATAAAGGTGGTGGATGGTGTGCAGTGGAGGAGAAGTTAGATACACAAAGATACGAAACGTCGAGAAGTGAAGAGAGGAGAGAAGAGGAGAGGAGAGACTAGGAGAGGGAAACACTCGGCGCACGCTACCCCACGCGCGCGCGCGCGCGCGCGTGTTCTTACAAAACAACGCATCTGAACACTCTGAACCCGTCGCTGAACGCGCTTCAACAGTTCGGCACGAATTCACATTGAGTTGATTATTCTGACGGACGCGCGGGTTTCATCGCGTCGCCGCCATATTGGCGGCTCGATATAACACGTACTAATAATAAGTTCAGATTGGATACGGTAGGCATCGTAGTTGACGCGCCGATTTTACCGTCGTTGAATGTCGCTACTACAAATGTGCCATAAACAGCGCAGTGATCATGTCATAACATTGACAACCATATTTAATTATATGTAACTGAATCAGCTAAAAATTTCATTGTTTAAACATGGGACTACATTATCTAAACTACATTGTTTTTCTTGTCTACTTAATTATATATAAGTATGCTGAATAAATTGTGATTCTGGTTCTTTATTTTTTTTTGGATGATACATGCGATATCGACACCGGATAACTCACGATCGATTGAACGGAAAATAATTGTTTTCACTATATAGTTAACAAAATACCTTGATGTACGTTTGAAAGTTTGTCTTGTGTTTAGATTGACTTTATAGCCGTTTACTATTTTCACTGCGATTGTAAACATTAATGAATATTATCGATAAATATAAATAGAACAGTAAACTCTGCAACGAATCATTTTTATGGCTAACTTTCTCAGTGACTGAAAGATATTTCGTGCGAAACCTGTGAACTGTTTATTACTACGAATTATAAAATGTGCATTTTGTTGACTGACGAGTATTACTGGCAATATCTAAGTGCCAATAAATAATTGCTTAAGTTAAGATTGATCTTTATTGATGACTTCATGATAATATATATTGTTAATAACAATGCCTGTAAGTATGACATACAATAACAATTTAACTATAGTAATGTTAATGTTATTATTGATTAATTTTAATAGCAATTATATAATAATGAAGATAATAAATGATTGATTTACAGAGTGGAAATGAACAATTCATTGGATCAAGACTTTGAAGAATTTAGATTTTCAGATGAAAGCAAAATTTGTAAAGATGCAGTGGATGATTTGCAAAAATTTGGTATGTCTTTTTTTTCAAAATAATTGAATGTAGATGAAATATTTATATATTGAAGTCAAATGTAACATGTGCAACAAATAGCATTAAAGTTTAACCTAATTTGTGCATATTATTTTTTTTTTTGAATTTAACGTCTTATCCTTGTTTGATTGCATATGCTTCTTCTTTTTTTTTGCATATAGTAAAACATTTCACTTGAAATTTCATTGCTACAAAACATTATAACATTTCTAGTACTTTGTTGCTGATCTATGGTTATCTTTACAAAACCTATTCCCATAAATTTCTCCATCCAGATTTTATCACGATTAAAAAAAGTTTAGTTAAATAAATTAATGAGATCACTTTCTATTACGCTCCAAGGTGTACATTAAATAAATTGTCAAAGGAAAGTGTAACAAAAAATTTTTATTCAGAACTCTTGAGAGAAGGTTAGGATACTGTTAGTACCGGACAACGCGGAAAATCTCAAGATTTCGTTATTGCTGTTTCACTCGATATATTTATGTCTTTATTTAATCTCAATAAATTATAAATTAATATTGTTTCTTTGGCTAGAGTTACAACAATATGATTTGATTCAGTCGTAAAGTTTATTTCTATTACCTTCTCAGTCCGTTTGTTCAATTGATTAACCATATTCCACTAAATTATTTTGACAAATAATATTCTCTTAAATGAAATGTAATTATTTAAAATTAGACAGCGAGGCAATTTATGCACGTTTGCAATGGTGTCGGACAAAATGCGTTTCGATGCGAAATACATCGCGGCGGGAACAGTGCGCTAATACGAAGTGAACCAATGATATTCATTCTTTAGCCAGTATCGATTGGAGAATCCCGTTTTCAATTCTCGGCAAAAGCAGAGGCAATTATCTCGCTTGCGCTAGGTGGTTTGCTGCTGCAACCATTTTGTGTGAACACTTGCTGTTGCTGCATATACATCGGCATCGATTGTTTACATCCGTTGTAACACGGGGACGCGCGTTGATGATCGCGAGTGAAGTAAGAAATGCTTGTTTGGATACAATTGATGCGTAGTTCTCAGATAGGGAATTACGTCGGTTTAATGGATTTGACAGTAGATACGAAAGCGCGGCAAATTATTCAGCTCTTGCTTCTCTCAGAGTATTAATTGAGAAGGTAGTGTCAGAAACATTCAGTCTTTGTTCAGTTATTTGCATTCGAGTAAAACATTTTTTATAAATTAATGCGGTTGACGAAATGCAATTGGCGGATTATTGCATGGATAGATATTGTAATTATTATTATTATAATATTTATTATTTCAGATAAACATATAGACGATCAGAATCCAATATTTTCCCTACGATTTTCATTATTCAGCTGTGAAGTTTGTAAGAAACAGTTTGTAACGAAAAAGCAATTACGCACTCATATTCATACGCATTTAAGAAGGCCACGTATAGTTTTGAAAAGAGTTACAAATCTGAAAGGTATTAAGAAGAAACATAGTAACAGATATTGGCTAGACCCTGAAAAGAAGGGATCATTGAAGCTGACATTGAAAAAACAGAGTATCACTGATTCCCTGAAACTCAAGCTTAAAAAGTCATCAGAGTCTGAAGACTTTACTGTTGTGAAAAGCAACATTAATCTGGGGACTGAAAACCACGGTCAAAGAGACGTGGCTGGAGCAAAGGAAAATGATCAAAGACACGAGAAAGATACAGAAAGTTCGATTAATCAGTCATTTGAAAACGTGATGGTAGAGCAACAGGTATGTAATAGTAACAAACATAAAAAGATGATTATTATAATTCTATAGAAAGTGTTTATTGACAGGATGAATATGAAAGTATTAAATTCAATACCGATGATCATAATCCATTGGAAGAAAATGACAGGCCATCCATAGATGTCAATGAAGCTGATTCAGGTGTAGGAAGTGATATGGCAAATCCATCCGAAAAGGAAGATCAAAATGATGACCTACAAAGTACAGACCAGTATGACAATTCGGATAAAAGACTCTCTGAAACAGAAGATCATGAAGAGTCAGATGCGTTGGAGGCAACATGCAGAGAAACAATTGAAAACTTGAAGAAACTTGGCGAACAATCTGGGTATTATTGTATTTAAAAGAAATCCTAGAATGAAATTTATTTTTTTTACAGCTCTTTATATGACATTTCAGATCTAGATCTATGAATCAATTAATTGACAATTCAGGCATTGAAGAGGATGATGATAGAGGTCATGAATCCAACATGATACATGATTTAGAAGAGAATTCAGCTATTAATATTATTTCAAAGTCTTCTACATTCTCAAATCATACAGCAGACTGTACAACAGTGTGTGACGATGAAGATAAACCTGATGAGGAGCCAACGGAAAGCCCGACTGGTTTTAATTGGAATCAATTATCTACTAATTTATCAAATAAGAATAATGATAATTCTAAAGAAAATGAAGAACAGCCTGATCATGGGGGTGATACTAATATTGAGAATGCTGGGTCTCTTTTACAAAATTTAATTGAACACCAAAGACATAATCAAAATGAAACATTATCGAATAATTTACCATCGGAAACTGAATACGTTTCGCTTGAAAAGTTAGCCGAGACTGTTAGTACTTGTCGTGTTTGCAATGAAAAATTTAAGGATATTGCTCATTTAGATGAGCATCGGAGCAAAGCAGGCCACTATCAGTGCAATATTCCGGAATGTATAAATCTTATTTTTCATTCACCATTGGAAGTTTCTATGCATAAAGCTCAAATGCATGGAACACCCCTTTCTCCGAGCGTGAGCCAATTGTCTCCTCATCTGAATACGAATTCGCCTCATTTGAGCCAAAATTCACCTCATTTGAGCCAAACATCTCCGCAATTAAATACACATTCACCTCATGCAGTATCGTTGGAATCTCCAAATACACCAAATTCGCAACAGATAAATAGGAATTCTCCTTTAACTTCACCGCATCAAACAAACTCACCTACATATAATGCAGTAGCTAGTGCTGGACAGCAAATAATACCGCCTGTTAATTTTGAACAACTACCCGCACCTGTTCAACAGTTAGCTCAACAAGTACAACGTATGCCACTTCCGCAAACGCAAATGCCTCCAAGTCTTCCACCAGGTGCTAATACAATGATCCCTGGTCCAAATTACTTTGTACAACCACCAGGAAGACCACCGTTGTATAGAGTTCCTGGTCCACAGGGCATGCATTATCCTCCTCATGTAGCACACCTATATCCGCAGTATGGACCGGGTCCATATCCGCAAATGACTGCACCGCCGCAAATGCATCCTCAATTGCCACAACAAATTTCACGTGGAAGGTATCCTACTCTTGCACAAAGTAGTCGGCAAGTACTGTTGATGAAATAATCGTTAAAGTGTGTAATTTTTTTTCTAATGAAAATAAATAAAACAGGAAATGAGAAATGATAGATTTTTTTTAAAAATAAACTATTAAGCAGTTTAATTTGCATGTGTGCATTGTAGGGCGCCGCGGATTCCACAAACGGGATCGACTCCCCGGCAACGTATGAAACGTCCTATGCAACAATCAATGCAGGTACAGCAGAACAATTCTGCAATAAAACAACGACGAATGGACGTTTTATTGCCAGATAGAAATGAAGATGCAGATTGTCATGTTATTGCACAGCAGAAACGAAACGATGGTCTACCTGTTATCCAAAATGTTCAAGGTGCTACTACTCAACAAACAAGCAGAAATGATTCTACTATACATCTTACGGATTCCATAACTCTTAGTGTTAGACAACCAGGTACTTTTAACATTTGATTGCATACATATTTCTTTCTTAATGTAAACTTTAATATATATGATTTATTTTATTTTAAATACCTCTTCTAAGATTAGTTTTGCACTGAGAATAAGTTTTTATATTTTTATACATTATTTTAAGTTTATTTTTATAAGTTCATTTTTATATTTATTTGATTATATATTTTGCAAAAAAAAACTTAACTATTCGTGGAAGAGGTGCACTGTAAAATTAAAAAAATCTATTTTACTAATCTAAAGGTTCCGCTCCAGCTCAAGTGCAGAATACATCAGGTGCTGGGGGCAAGAAGTCTGATGCAAAGGCTGTGGCTAATGTTCTGGCAGCCAGAGGTATTACTGTTACTCCAGCAGCAAATAAAAATAAATCAAGTGAACAAAACAAACAGCAGATACCTTCCCAGCAACAGAGGACTACGTCTTCACAGCAGCCTTTAAATGTTACAGCGCTCACTCTGAATTCTGCTATTTCTATCATACCAGCTAGTTCACAAAAAAAGCAACAAGAACAGGGTCAGTTTGCTGTTCCTCACAATAAACAAAACAAAACAGCTGTGAACGAAGTGGAAAGACCTCCGAGACCTCCCACTGTAGATTTAACACAAGATACTCCGCCGCAAATGCCAGTAGTCAGACGTGGAAGACCTCCACGGTAAGATAGATTAAAGGAAAATTTCTATGTATATTTATTGATAATAAAATATCTTTCATTGTTACAGAGCATTACTAACTTGTCAAGTGTGTGATAAAAATTTCCAAAATCAGGAAATGTTGACTCAACACATGGCTACTCATCGTGCACCAAGTAAATTACTTCATAAGTAAGTATATCTTTTAAACAGTAAGTACAATAGAAATTTTTAGATAACAATTAAAATACTAATATATACATACATACATACATACATACATATATACGTATATATATAATAATGTTTGATACTAGGTGCAATCTTTGCCCTGCCCAATATCCAACAGCTCAAGCTCTAACAACGCACAAACAAGTGTATCACAAAGAAGTTGATACTGTAGCACAAAATGGTGGTGCAGAATTAGCATTACCAGTTGTAGATTTGAAATCCCCCCATGTGTTGAATCGTTTATCAAATCTTGGTATACAGAGCTACATCCCTCTGTCACAGCTTAGTGCTCAAACGGGCGGGTATTTTGGATTACCTATAATTACAATAGATGGTGCACGAAATCCTAATACTTGTAATTTAGGTGCACTTGGTGCCACATCTATTTTAAGTCTGGGTCCTCTTAAACATTTGTCAAACAGGTAACTGTGGACAATTTTACGTTTGCCCTGTCTTATACGATATTTTTAACTTTTTTATTATTTTCATCAGTAAGAGTTGCTTAATATGAGTATTACTACATCGCCTATTAACTGTAAGAACTTGTTTTTATTCTCTTCATTTTCTAGACAAATTAGATGACACAAACTCGGTCCGTTTAATAACTTTATATAATGAATTTGACATTTTTTAAGTTTCTCTAACTAGTTTATGCTTTATTTTTTATTATCTCGGATGTTTTTACATTTTCTGTTTTGTTCTCATAATTTAGTTCACGCAATCTAAAGCAATATAGTATTTGTAATGAGAGCCGAAGAGTTCGTGTTAATTTAGAATAATAAAACAAGATTTGAAGTTCACAATCATTGTGCAAACATAGTGTATATGTGCGTCAATATAGCATGTTATGAGAAAATCGTGGGATTGAAGACGCGCGTAAATCATTCGCCACTATTAGGATACATATATACATATATATGTATATATTGTGTATATATATATTGTATATATTGTGTATATATACACAATATATATAGTATGTATATATATACAAATATAAAAGATATATATATACACAAATATAAAAGATATGACATATATATATATATATATATAAGGAAATATATATATATATATATACTTTTTTTTAAATAAAGACACGATTAAAAATGCATCAAATTTATCCTTCAACATTCTACATGATTCATAAAAAATTCCAACGTAGTATCACTCATCAACGATATAAAATTATTAGAAGCCTGCATGAAATTAGAGGAAAAGACAACATCGTTAAACTTTTAACTTAATAAAAAAAAAATCACATTGGTTTTATTGAAGAAAAAGTACCATTCGTTCGTTTGAACGAATATTAGAAACTATCGTTATGTGATCCTTGTATCACTTGCGATATGTGATATACTATCTAATGTCGGGAACATTAACATATACATTGTGAAAATTACAAGGTACCTAATTATTAGATTTGTTCATCTAAAGGATTATCCTGGATATTTTAATCGATTCTTAAGGCAGTAAGTAATTGTATCATACAATGTTGTTAAATCACGTCCGTGTTTTTGAATGAAAGATTTATAAATTATAAATCGTATAGAGTTAATATTTAATTATTTTTTTGTGAAACGAGATTTCGTTTGAACAGACGATATTCGTACAGACTACAGATGTAATACCGGTTGTAAATATATTTTGTAAAAAAAAAAAGATTACAGTCAAAGCATACGCTTGTTTGTACTTGAAACTCTATAAAAAGAACTACTAATAATTATGTAAATGACTTAATGACTTAAACAGCGAACATTTATTCTTATGAAATCGCGAGCGATCTTTATTTATTATCATTCCTATTGCTGTATGTAAATAATTATCATTCTTTTTTTTTCGTGTACTATGTATATTTTTAAAATATAAGCGAGGTCATCCGTTCCGTTCAAATGATATAAAATAAAAACGTTCACTGAAACGCGCAAGAACTGATTTAAAATAATAATAATTGTATATATTTGTATGATAATAAAAAAAGTGAAGTATATGATAATTTTAATGAAATCTAATTAGCTAATAATGGGGCATTATATTGTTCTTAGTTTACAATAAAGGACATAAATTTCAACAAATTTTCATTCTCGAAATGCATTTTATAAAATTTTCAAGTTCATTTAATTCTTTGATTGTCTAAAATGTGTTTAAAAGGTGTTTTAAAGCTAACGAAGGATATGGAACTGTTCTATCATAATTTTGACAAAATAAATCTTTTATAAAACATGCTAATGTGAATAATTTAATGCACGTTCCCTTCCATTTTATTTTCAATTAATATTTAATATTTTTACTTGTATCTTTTTACGGTACAAACAAATACAAGTTCGAATAAACTTTTGATTACTCGTCAATTACTAAATGTACTACTATATTCGTTGAGATGTTTATTCAATAAACATCTTAAATATTGTAAGATATTTCTTGTAATATTTAATGCAAGATTTTACAAGTTATGTAGTGTATATTTTTTGTTATAAAAATTTATATAAATTAATATATAATGATATCAGAAAATCGTAGAAGTAAATTTTATTTAAATTCCTCTCTACCAGAATATGACTAAGTGTTACTTCCGGTTATAATTTTCTACTACAGTTTTGAATATTTTCGAGGATTGTTTCAACGGCTGTTTCAAAGTGTAATTATATCTATTCTGTATTTTTCAATAGGTAATTTCGTATTTCGTATATTTGTGTTCATTCTTTACGATATACATTGTATTTTGTATAAAATCATTTACTTCTCAATTATATTTTGTGTTCTATTTTAACGTTACAATTACGAATAATCGTACATACATTATATTTTCAAATTACAAATAATCATATATACATTATATTTTCAAATTACAAATAATCGTATATATATATTATATTTTCAAATATTATACATTATGTTTTCAAATATATTTTCAAATATATTTTATATTTTATAATTATTATCATTGACTAATTAGAATAGACCGGACAACCAATGCTCTTTCGACCGTATGTTTATATACCTCGTCTGTGTGTGTAGTATGGTTAGTATTCGTACATGTGCCGTGTAATTGTGAGCGTTGCATCATTCAATTCGTCTAATTGTAAGCTGCGTACAGGAAACTTTTTTATATGTGAATAACCTGATAGTTTGATTTCATATATTTTATAATTATTGTAATTGAATTTCTAGTGTTCTGTCGTTTTCTATTTGTTAATAATTGATTTTCGAATGGTATCGTAACCTGTACTCAGATTTCTTTATCGTCAATTATGGGATTGGTCTATTTTGTTTTTTATTTTTTTGACTGAAATTTATTCCTTCTTGTTGCAGATATTTACTTCACGTTAGTATTAAAATTTCGGCATGAGTGCTGCGTTAAGTTCGAGGGCTGAACAATATTTCTATAGCATAAATCCCTTGGCACAAAGGATAGGGGAAGATATAACTGCAACTAAGGAAGCTTATGAAGGTCTGTGGAACACATTAAGTATAGCAGAACGGAATCAAGCGATTAATGAAACTATTATTCAGCCGGAAGTTGCATTAAAATATACTTTGAAAAAACCTGAGATTACTAAAGAATTACCGGAATGGTATCCAAAACTACGCATACAGACAGGAATGAAATATGTTATTGATGAAACTGGTTCTGTAAGTACCATCTAAGTTTATATTAATGTTAAGTCATGAATTTTATGCTATTTGTTTTCTTTTCATATAAATGTCGATTAATGTCTAACTGTCATAAGCGCATAATACTTTGAGTCTGAAATATTTTATTATTTATAAGACTTATGTGTGTTCAGTTTAGTTCAAAACTTCTTAGTTAAAGCAAGCCTTTTTTACTATGACATTGTAGACATTACGATGGCGTGATGAGCATTCAGCTCCATTTTCATTCATGACTCAGTCACAAATGAATCTTAGTGTAATTGATTCAACAGAGGATGCAAAATCAAAATTAATAAGAGCCCAATTTGGGGAATCATCACATTTCTCAAGCCCAGCAAAATCACATAGAAATAATTCAAACTCTCTTAATGATCCCTATACATCATCTCATACAGTTAATCGCTTTCAATCTGATTGTTTTTCAAGTAATATTTTTGAAGATGAACAGTGTAGTAGCTTGTTAAAAGGCAGTGTTGATAGTGATCATTCTGAAAGTATATTTGCCAAATTGATGAACAAAACGTCTTTATTAAAACTACAAAATAATTTGGCAGATGATATGGAAAGCTTAGTCAGAGAAAGGGATTCTGATACAGATAAAAGTCAAACAAATACATTAGTGGTAATGTCGCGTACAAAATCAAGTGATATTAATGAGTCAACAGCATTATTAGAGACTCCTAGTTCATATAGTAGTTTTCAATCTTCCCAGTTGAATCAGGAAGAGGAAGAAAGAACTATACCAAAAACTGGTTTTGAATTTCTTGATAATTGGTAGTTGTTTCATATAAATACATGTCAAGTTGGTACTATTACTAATCATTAATTTGCGTTTATACAATTTTAGTGTCTAAAATAATAATATGATAATATTGATCAATATTACTTTAATATATATTCATTTTTTAAAGTACGTCTCTTGTTGACAATTTCTAATGAAGGTTATGATCTCAAATTACAATGTTAAATTAATTTTACTATAAAGTATGTATTAGTTGTAAATTTGAAAGCATAACAAGAATTAATAAGTATATTCAGTACAACAGAATTTACAAACGTATATAAATTTTTTATTGCTATAATGCAGTGATCTTTTTTATATCTATACATGGGATGTGATGTATCTAATGATACATGAAAAAAAGTAATACTGAATGTTCAGATTGTTGAAAATACTTTATAAAGATCCAATGTTTTAATACTTGTATTTTCATTTAGAGGAATTTTTACAATTTTATAATATGTATTCCTATCTTTTTAAGATGATCATATATTCATTATGTGATCATTAAATACATAAAGAGTATTTAATGAAAGACTGAAGAGGCTATTTCATTTCATTTTCTTAATCATATTTGATAAGGCTCGTCATTGACTTGATTTTCAATCGTTTTTGTGACGATGTATTTTGTACAGATCATTCAGATTCAGCGATTAAAGATGTAGCCCTCTAAAGTAATAACGATAATTTAGAATAATTACTGTTATACTTGCTCTCTTCTTCGTCTGTGTTACGAGAGATGAATTAACGAACAAAATAAAGCACGTGTATGTGTGTTGCGTGAAACGGGTTATGCTTGCGTGTTTAGTAACTAAAAAATATCAAGTCATTTTTTATTGAGATATACATACACATATATGTGTATATTTATACAGTATTTTAGAAGCATTTATTATGATATTTAAATACATTAATTCATGTAACGTGGTTGCATTTTTTTAATGAACTTAGCCCAATAAGGTTCATTCCTTCCTCGATATGGATATTCCCAGATATTCCAATCTTCACGTAGTCCAAAACCCCGAGAGCCAGACTGGTAGAAAAAAATGTTAAAAAAACTATATACCTACTATATACCATTTCCATTTTCATATCCCCAAATGATTTGTACCTTCCGTTCTGGGAGATTGAATGATAGTTACGTTCTCATCCCCACCGCCGATCTGTCCGACTTTTGAGTTATTGTAGTAGCCGAAAATATTTTTATTCGCTTGTGTTATACAGTAAAATTCCTCGAGGTCGGTCGATCTGGTTAGCTTGGCTTCTGATTCTTTCTCGAAGGGTGACACCAGTATCAGACGCCTTTTCGACGATGCCCGGACTGAAACTGAAACAATTCTTTCGTCATATTGAAAAAGTAAACACAATGTTAAAAACGCAATTTTCAATGATACATTTCATGTTAGAAGACAAATTAAATTAGGTGTATTTATCACTTCTGTTGATTTCATCACCTGATGCACCCTTAGCTGTGTTTTTCGATTCGTGAAATAGTTCTTCAGACAACGTGGTTAAGCTTCTTGACAGAGTATTCGATCGACTATTTTTGTCGGGCAGACATCGACCAGGAACATCCGATTCATTATTATTTTCTGTTCGTGCAAAATTAACATGGTCCTCTAGAAAATTATCTACGAATCATGAATCAATAAATTGTAGATCTATTCTACGTTCTTTCTGTATCGTTCTATGCAAATTGAAATAATAACTTAGCGGAAAATTAGCAAGATAAATCATTGAACCTCCTTCTTTCTTCTCCCCCGTATTCACGGGACTACATTTTCCGAAACCGGGACATTTCTGTCCGTCGTAACAGTTCTCTTCTCTAAAATTTTGCTTGAAACTCTCGCGGATCTTTTTATCATCCGTCAGAGTACGCGAAATTGCCCCTTCCTCTTGCACATTTCCTCCACAGCACTTGTATTGTTCCATCGCCTGCCGCTCGAGTTCCTACAACGATAACGAATTTTTTTGAAATTTTTCGCGAACAGAGATCAAATTCGAAGCTCGAAACATCGTCGCAGCGAAAGAATGCTCTATTGATAATTTCCGTGATTAAGTGTGTTTATAAGCATAATCCATTGGTTGGTCAGTCGGCGACTTAAGGTAAGTAAATATAAGAATAAAGTATTATACTTGATACTTAAGCGCCAGAGATTCCTCTGATGTTCTATACTGCTCCATCGCTTGTTGCTCTAATTCGTCGTATCTAGTGTTGAATATATTTTTGTTACTGTAATTATCGTTATTATATGAGCCTTTCAAAAGCCAAACTGATCAACTCCGGTTTTTACTAATTTCTTAATTTCGTTACACAGATAGAAGATTAACAAGCCAGTATGTGACAATTGGCCATTTTATGAATCAAATCTGTGAGGATCTTAAGATCTAATTGAAGAAATAGCTTGCTTTTATATTTAAGATCATTGATCTTAAAGGAATGATATAAGTAATAATTAGACTGGATTTTTATGCAGGTTTGTATTTTTATAAACTTAATTAAACAGAGTTCAACTAGAAATTTATTTTATCCATTAAATATTGTAGAAGATACATGTATATATATTTTCTATATATGTACAAAATTGTAAATTTTTGTACATTTTTGTACATTATATGCATTTTGTGCAGAGAATTTTAATCTCTTATGAAGATTCGCATAAAAGTCTAGTAAGATAAATTTAAAGCACAGTGTTTGCAGTCCCATCATTTTTCTGTGGTTTTCAATTTATGGAGTTGATCAATAAAGTATCTGAACGGTTTGAAACATATGCAATTTCGCGAATTTTCAATGGAATTTTTTTAATGAAATATATCAAATAATAATTTTATACCTTTTTTCAAACACGTTCAAGGTGGCTTGGTTCACCGAAGCATTGGTTAACACGTCTCTGTAAAGTCTTCTTCTGTTCCGCGTATCATTTTTATCTCTTTCGCTGGTCGACTTTGCGCCCGAACTTTGCGCCTCTGATTTCATTCGTTCGCTGGTTCTTGCGCCGTCCTTTTCCCTCCTGGAAATGCAAGTTTTTCTATCGCTTCTTCCATCGAAATGTCTCAATTCCGTGGCCAAAGCGTTGCCAGCAGCGATGAACTCCTTCGTTTTCGGTGGATAACTTTTGTCCAGCCATTGAAGAACTTCCGACTCCGACTTGGTACTACGGTTTTTCCCATCGAGATACGATGGCTTCTGTTGCGAGCTTTTCGATTGTCCACGATGCGCCTTCATCGCGTTTCTCGTCAGCAGTATCAAGTTCTTGAAATCAACGCCTTGATTTTTCCGTTTTTGCCCCGTTTCGTTGTACAATTCTATGGGATGCTGATAGACCGGTATCGGTATAGGGTTCGATTGTAAAAATTTCTCTTGCACCTGCAACATTTCTTCGATCAATTTTTTTTCATCTGTAATTTTTCCTACGATTCCATACGATTTACTTAATTCTATGTAACTATTTGTTCTTTGCAATTTTAATCTCTCATTTTATGAATATTAACCTATATTTTAATAATAACCTTTGCACTTCATAGACGTCGCTACGACAGCTATGATTGATCATTCACTGACAGGTAACAGAGGAGAATGATCAGTCTGTTTATTAATTCGCTGATGCGACAACAACATTTCGCGATTTTGAACTTGACTTTTCTTTTTCGTTAAAAAATTGGAACAGAAGAACATCCCCGAGATTTTGAATTTGTCGTTGACGGCGATGATGACTTTGATTTTAATATACATAGAAGCAATTCAATCGATTGCATAGAAACACAATTCAATGGAATGATTATTTATAATACTGAGAGCACCGATATTGAAGAAGATAGCGAAGGCAATAGTGAAAAAGAAAAATAGCGCTAAGAAAGAAAGAAAGAAAACGAAAATCGATAGAGAAGACAGAAGACAGAAGGAAAAATTAAGGAAAGAAGTGATTAAGAAAATGACGATAATTTGCCCTGGAATTTCTGGCATAACGAAATACATAATAAAATTAGCCAGATTGCAAAGGGTTAACATAATGTCTATTTCGGTCGAAACGATCGTCTATTTGCCACCTGCAGAGGGTGATGGGTAATAGTAGTAGTTCGCAATGGTTGCACAGAAGTGCAACCGATCGGGTTCGACGAAGATATTTGGATTTGCGCCGGTGGTGGTGGAACTCTCTGATACCATTGTTGCGGAGGTCTAATAAACGTGGTCGTATCGGTAGCCGACAGCAAAGGTATACCCGCACTCTGAAATTCAACAAGTACTTTTCTGATTTTTGCCTCTTGAAGGTTCGAATGACTTTTACGGAGTGAAAGTCACTATCGACGATAGAAGATAGTGCAGAAAAGGCAAATTAACCTGATATATTGCTCCGGTATTCTCGTAAGTTCTGTTGTAAGGGAACAGCTCGTTTTGGTAACTTCGCTCATTGAGGGATGGAAAATATTGCACGCGATTGGCATTTTGTTCCTTGTTGCTGTTGTACCGCATTACCGGCACTTTCGGGAAGAATTCTGGCACTTCCGGGCTGAGAACCGGCGGCAAATGTTTCCTTACACCGTAAGCCTCCGTTCTCGCTGTCTGATATTCTGTTCGAAGTATCACCGGCCGATACTGGACCGCGTAATAGAACTGTTGCTGACGTTCCTTGCTCTGGCAATTTTGCTCACGAGGCTGCGGTTGCAGCTTGCTGCAGCACTGCAAACGCATCCTCTGTTGGAGAAGTTGTTGCTGAGCGTTGCTGCCGACCGTTTTCCATAAGTTTCGGACCGCGTCGCTGGCCACGCGTACGTGCAGCTGCATCTCCATTGAATTTTCGATGGTGTAACGCTGATAATGATTATCCGACCTTTCGCTAGGATCTGACTCTTGACAGACATCGTTTTAATTAGCAACAATCGAATAGATTTTCTAATATAGAAAAATACGGCGTGTTATTTTGGCGAATTTCAAGGTATCGTAGACGTTAGACAACAAAATTTCAGCAGAGTAGTCAAATAGTTATCCGCATAATTTGAAGTAAAATTAGTTTAGTTAGTTATTAACCAAAAAGTTTAATATTGAATATTGAACGAGGAACATATAATAAATTAAGAATGCATCTTTAAACATACATACATTGGTCAGAAGTTTAAAATCACTTGTATTAATTTGAAATTCGTGCAAATATTTTTACTAATTACTTTTATTAAGTACTGTTTTACTAAGTATGTAATGTACTTTTGTTTTTAAATTTACCATGCAACAGGATGATGTTGAAGGATTTCTCCAAATTGTGTAAAAGATATTTGAAAGAAAAACAAGATCAAAAAATTAATAATTAATAATTAATAAACACAAACTGATCATTCCATTTTAAATGTCGCGAGAAGAGCTTGATGGACAAGTTCGAAAACATGTTCCAACTTCGCAAAATCTAATGAGAGATTTTACAATACTTGTAAATATGCAATTGGAAAATTTAAATAAATTGTCTTCATTTAAAAGAATGTCTGAAATAAAAGAACTTGTAGAAGAGGCACATTTTTTGATGAAAAGCATGTGCAGCATACATTACAAATTGTTTACAAATGTGTTTTTCTCTTTTTTTCTTTAAATCGACATCAGTATATCATTTGGATGTTACAAGTAACTTTTAATGAAATTATTTTCAAAAAATGGAAATTTCTTATAGTGTACATATATAGTGGTTTTCAAATTTTTGACCAGCAGTGTCATATCTATCTTCTTCATATATTTATCCAAATATGTATCGTCATGCTCTTTGAACTTCTAATAAGCAAACCAATTACGTTTTAAGCTTCCCGGATTGTCTGTATCGACATTCTATTGGTAGAAGATTAAA